CGGGTGGTGCTGCGATGTCCGTAACGCCCGGGAATACTTACTGGGCAAAGTAAAGTTCAATGCAAACCAGTCGAGGGCTCAATTCGAGTAAACGTGTGGCCAAGAGATGCCCTAGCATCGTGGACAACTCAGATGCGGATGGGCTCTCAAACCAGGCTATAGAAATAGGCTGTGTAGGGTCAGAGGGAAATTCAAGTCTTGAACCGCGTTGATTACATAGTAATGTCTGGCCCCTCACAACGAAGTATTACCATATTCAATTCAGGACCGGAGCCGTTACCCCCCACATGCTTCATCTGTGGACTTTCTAGGCCCACGGCCGAATTTTGCTAATAACCTGCCCAGGAGAATTCTAGGCATCTCCTTGCAGAACTCCTCACAAAATTCATTAGTACTTCTTCATTTGATCATTGCATCAAGTATCTGATATTACTCTCGACTGTTGGTCGCCGAGCCCAGTACCGAGCAGCGGATATCGCTCGTAACGTCGAACCCAGCCGAGGAGGCCCGTCCACCTCCGGTCGGTATCCGGGTCAAATCTTGGGCGATGTGCGCTAGTTCAAGAACTATTAGTTCTGACGCAACCAGCGTTGCTGGGGGGTTTTCCCCAGTAAACCACATCGACCAGGGGCTTTGGCTAACCAATTATCGATCTTCATTGAAGTTGGAATGGATGTTTCTATCCTCGCTCACTGGCTACTTTCTGTGAGCGCTGCGTGGTCGCGTGGGAGATCAAAAGAAGCTCGGTGCTTCCGGCTCGGAGGGGGAAAGTCTCATGATACAAACGCGACAAGAGCCTGTCAGCATACTAGACCATGACAATACCTAGGTACAATCGCCATTGATTCTTCAATTCTTGTGGGCGATATAAGCAATAAGGTATTTATGAATTTGACCAGCATCAGGGACAGCAAGGTGGGGAAGGGTTAACACAGGGGAAAGATTCACTCATGAGGATGCACTTAAAAACGAGCCAAGCAAGCCTTTTGTAGACAGCATTAAGGAAAAGATACATCCAGCACAGTATGGCAAACGGCCCTGGGGATGATTGATTCTTAAGATAACCGTTGCTGAACTTTTGAAAATGCTGTTGCTCCCCCTCAGGGTATCAGAAAAAATGACCACTGAAAGCATAAGAGACGAAAATAGTAAGACACTTTATGCTTCTTAGGGTACAGTTATTAGACTACTTATTTTTATACCACAAGACTTACGAGGCTATTTTTTCTGCTACCCAGTAGCTCCCTCGGCAGAGTGGAGGTTTTCGGTTACTGTCCATGACGAAGGGCAGGTGTCGATTATTTTCTCATAATCTCTCATTGGTCAGTGATCTAGAGCTCCCCGCCTGCATCCAAGTGGAGAGGCGTTGTCAACCTTGAGCCTGTCCCAGTGGACGCTTTGTCAAGTTTCAGTGGCCCTGTCCGCTTTAGCACCTGTCCATAGAGGCTGACGGACCGCTAGCATGTTCTCCACCACCAGCGTCGGCCAAGCAGTTTGGGGCTCTGGGGGTGTAGAATCTGAGGGTGTGAAGCTTCACAAGCCTTTGGGCCTTGAGTGAATTAGCCGGGGTAAGAGGGTTTTGCAGCATGAACGAGGGCAAGAGTGAGGTACTTGGCTTTACCGTGAAGTGACATCTGAATTGCACCGTATCTGTCCTGCTCCGTCTCGGCTGCTCTGGCTTTGCCCCGGGTCGAAAAACAACTCTCCACCTTGTCAGAGCCGTCAACTTTTTTCCTCTTCCTTTTAATACTCCGACCTCCCCCTCTTCTTTCTCTCGTTGATCTTCTTCTGCGAGCGTCTCTCTTTTCTTTTCTTCCTTGTGATACCCAGAGCATCTCGCCTCCAAGCGCTTCTACGCTCAATTGAGACATCTCAAGTTTGAGTGACCAAACCGCCCATCATGCTCGCTACCCGCCAGGTTCTGGGCAACATGTCCCGGAGCCGCGCCCTTGCTGGCGCTGCTTCTGGCTTCCGCCGCATGGCAACCGTGTCAGACAACCCTTTGGACAAGAAGGTAAGCTCAAGAACCATCTGTAGTTGTCTGCTTGACCCTACGACCTATGTAGTGGTTTCTTGTATGCTTGTGTTCAGCTGCGCAGGCCCAAGACGTCATAGTGCATTGGCCCAGTTCGGCTATCAATCCGCCGCACTGCCGAGGGGCCTGCTAAACGTGCAAATTGCACCATGACTGCATCAAGGAAGTGAAGCAGCAGTTGTGGAATTGGACAACTTCAAGATGCAAAACACTCAGAAGGACAACTTACTAACTGGCTCTGCTTGTACAGGTCCGCCAGAACAACTGGGAGGAGGGTAACTACATCAACTACAAGAAGATGTCCGAAAACCTTGACATTGTCCGCTCTCGTCTGAACCGACCCCTGGCCTATGCTGAGAAGATCCTGTACTCTCACTTGGCTGATCCCCATGGCCAGGACATCCAGCGCGGTAAGAGCTACCTCAAGCTGCGACCTGATCGTGTTGCTTGCCAGGATGCTACGGCTCAGATGGCAATCCTTCAGTTCATGTCCGCTGGCATGGACAAGGTTGCCAACCCCACTACCGTCCACTGTGACCACTTGATTGAGGCCCAGGTTGGTGGTGCTAAGGATCTTGCTCGCGCTGTTGACATCAACAAGGAGGTTTACAACTTCCTTTCTACTGCCTGTGCCAAGTACGATATCGGTTTCTGGAAGCCCGGTTCCGGTATTATCCACCAGATTCTTCTCGAGAACTACTGCTTCCCCGGTGGTCTTCTCATTGGTACTGACTCTCACACTGTTAACGGTGGTGGTCTTGGTATGGCCACTATTGGTGTCGGTGGTGCTGACGCCGTTGATGTTATGGCCAACCTCGACTGGGAGCTTAAGGCTCCTAATGTCATTGGTGTCAAGCTGACAGGTCAGCTTAACGGCTGGACTGCTCCCAAGGATATCATCCTCAAGGTTGCTGATATCCTCACTGTCAAGGGTGGCACTGGTGCCATTGTCGAGTACCACGGTCCCGGAACCGATGCTATCTCTTGCACTGGTATGGCTACTATTTGCAACATGGTATGTGACCTATTCATCGGAATGCTGAAGGCCTGCTAACATCGCCCAGGGTGCTGAAATCGGTGCCACTACCTCTGTCTTCCCCTTCAACGACCGCATGTACGACTACCTCGCAGCCACCAAGCGAAAGGAGATTGGTGACTTCGCCCGCTCTTACGCCCATGGCCTCCGCCCCGACGAGAACGTCGAGTACGACCAGCTCATCGAGATCAACCTCTCTGAGCTCGAGCCCCATATCAACGGTCCTTTCACTCCTGATCTGGGAACCCCTATCTCCAAGTTCAGCCAGGCTGTCAAGGAGAACGGCTGGCCCGAGGAGCTTAAGGTCGGCTTGATCGGCTCTTGCACCAACTCCTCCTACGAGGACATGACCCGTGCTGCTTCTATTGCCCGTGATGCCCTCAACCATGGTGTCAAGGCCAAGTCTGCTTTCACTGTCACCCCTGGTTCCGAGCAGATCCGCGCCACCATCGAGCGTGATGGCCAGCTCCAAACCTTCGAGGAGTTTGGTGGTATCGTCCTTGCCAACGCTTGTGGTCCTTGCATTGGTCAGTGGGATCGACGTGACGTCAAGAAAGGCGAGGCCAACTCCATCATCTCTTCTTACAACCGTAACTTCACCGGCCGAAACGACGGCAACCCCGCCACCCACTCTTTCGTCGCCTCTCCCGATCTGGTCGTTGCTATGTCTATTGCCGGCTCTCTTCACTTCAACCCTCTCACCGACACCCTGAAGGACAAGGATGGCAAGGACTTCAAGCTTGCCCCTCCTACCGGTGATGGTCTCCCATCCCGAGGTTACGACGCCGGCCAGGACACTTACCAGGCTCCCCCTAAGGACCGTGCCAGTGTCACTGTTGATGTTGCCCCTACCTCCGACCGTCTCCAGATCCTCACTCCTTTCAAGCCTTGGGATGGCAAGGACGCCAAGGACATGCCCATCCTGATCAAGGCTCAGGGCAAGACTACTACTGACCATATCTCCATGGCCGGTCCCTGGTTGAAGTACCGCGGCCACCTTGACAACATCTCCAACAACATGTTGATTGGTGCTATCAACGAGGCCAACGGCGAGGCCAACAAGATCAAGAACTACACCAATGGTGAGTGGGGTGCTGTTCCCGCTGTCGCCCGTGACTACAAGTCCAAGGGCATCAAGTGGGTTGTCATTGGTGACTGGAACTACGGTGAAGGCTCTTCCCGAGAGCACGCCGCTCTTGAGCCCCGCCACCTTGGTGGCCTTGCCATCATCACCCGTTCTTTTGCTCGTATCCACGAGACCAACCTCAAGAAGCAGGGTATGCTGCCCCTGACCTTCTCTGACCCTGCCGACTACGACAAGATCCGACCTGATGACAAGGTCGACATCCTCTGCACTCAGCTCGAGGTTGGCAAGCCCCTCCCCCTCGTTGTCCACCCTGCCGACGGCAGCAAGTCCTTCGAGGTGCCCCTGTCCCACACCTTCAACGAGGCCCAGATCGAGTGGTTCAAGAATGGCTCTGCTCTTAACACCATGGCCAAGACTAGCAACTAAAGAAAGAACGAAGCAAAGACGAGCAATTTGATTTTTATTGGGTCACAAACGGCGTACATCCTGATGCTCTCATGTTGGGTTTTGAGAGTAAGCAGTAGAGGGGCTTATCAATGGAGGTTAAATGTCTTTTACATTGACTGCCCATGTTTTATTACATAATTGTAGCAAGGGAGTAGCCATGCTTTCATTAGTTGTAACAAAATTCAAAATGTTAAATCACTTTCGATACCAGAGCAGTGATTGAAAATGAAAATGTGTAACCAATTAGCCAACAATTGTCCACCATTGCGTGTGACAGTAAGGTGTTTTACATTTGGAATGTTGATGTTGCCAAAACCTCAATCATTAATTTTCGCTCATTCTCGGTCAATATTGGGTAGCAGGTAGCTATCTGTTCAACAGTTTGAAATCTCAAATCAATACAGAGTTGTCTGGTCTGTGTTGAGCTTGAAAGGGTAGCGCTGCATGCTCTCGACGAATGCAAGCTCCATAGGAATGTAGCCACCCTTACTAGCATTGATGAGAGGGAGATGGGAAAGTCGCAGAGTGACATTGTCATCGTTAACATACATTTGTACGCAGAAATGTCCATTTCCAACTCCCTCGCCTGTGGCCGTGCACCGCTTGTCACGTGCACGTCTCAGCCACATCTTGAATGCAAGTGCCTGTTGTCCAGTTTCACTTGGCGATCACTCTGCGGAAGACATTCAGGGCGTGGAAGTGATTCTGGGTTTCAATCGTGGTTCATTATTCGTGCAAATCCGCAGAAACCCGTGCCATCATTTTTCTCAGTCTGTGTGTGCTTCTTGCCGACCTCTTGGGACGTTTTGATCCCAATACTGCACCAACAACAACTGTCCATTCTTTCAAACCACATACTGGCCGGCTGCTCCGAGAAGCGCCAATCGATAAAGATGCGACCTCGTCTTCAGAATTTCAACGCTTTGCGGGCTCGATCCTACCTAACAAGACTACCACTATTCACTCGACTTATCGCTCTCGCTATCATTGGTCTTTCAATCGCATCGCTGCAATCTGTATGGAACTTGCGAGAATGGGGCGCTCTCATTCCCGAAGAGATTAGCATTACAAATGGTATTGTGAATCGCCTTGTATAGGACGTAGATATGTACTAAACAAAGTTCTTAAACAGCATACCGACTATCGACCTTCCCACTAATACATCTCAACATCATCCATGCGATCCTTAACCTTCTGGCGCTTACTCCTCTGATGGAGCGATTCGAGACCGAACATGGCACCCTGACATCCCTTGCCTTGTTCTTTGGACGTAAGAAAACCGAATCGCGTTGCGAAACAAAACAGAAAAGAAAATAGGAGCTGACTGTTTTGTTATAGCGTTGACGTCTATACCTGCCGTTGCCTATGTATTAATCGAGCGATGCATATTCCGAGCAAACCACGGGGTTCTGGGGGCTAGGTATGTGACAGCGGAAACACTATCAAAACTATCGTTAACGACATGTGTAGTATGTGGGTGTTTACTCTGTTGGCGATGGAGTCTATTCAAACATACAAGACCAATCCCCACTTTGTTATTGGCACGGTCAATATCCCAACATGGACAACCCCCTTAATAATGAGTTTGGTTGTGGCTGCGTTAATCCCTGGAACAAGTCTTTTGGGTCACCTTTGTGGTATCGCCATTGGATATGTTGGTTAGTTTTTATCACTATGTTCTACGCATCACAGGCTGACATCTGGAATAGCTGGCTTTGGTTATGCGAAGCTACTTGCACCCCCAGAATGGGGTCTTCGATGGGTTGAGAACCGCCTTAATCTTCTCAAGATTCTCCCGCACTATGTCAGCATCGACAAGACAACATACGGCCGATTCGGTGTGTTGCCCACGACTAACCGTCCGGGCCCCAGTGGAAGCGCAGCGACAGAGCTTGTAGGTACGACCCAGCGTCTTGGACCTTAGACAGGGAACATAATACGTGTGCGCTTTTGTATAATCGGGCAGCAGCGCGATATTATCTGCTGCTCACTCCTTTTCAGAGCTGTACTATAGAAAGGGCATGTTTCTCAAAGCATTTCATATGTCATGAACAGGCGCGGCGATCAAAACAAATGGGATGAATTGACCAACGGGCTATGGTGTAGCTATCTTTATGTTGAATTTGTTACCATCGATTCTGGGTATCGATTCTAACGTTAATGGACTCGGTGGGGAGAGTTAGAAATTGAAGCTATGATCAATCACAGACTTGATACGATATGCTTTCACCTTCTCCATTTATCAATGTTCAGGAGCTCGTTGAGGATTTTGTTAATCTGCATCCATTGGAGTTTTAATATCCTATCATGCCCGGTGACTAATATATAGGCCACCTACCAAGGTAGCATCAGGGTACCAGAAAAGTTGGCCGCCAGGAGCATAGGAGACTAAATTACTATACCAACTTATATTGCTTAGACTATACTTCTTAGGTTATTTGTTGTTATTATCTAAAGCTTAACGGTCAATTCTTCTGCTACCCATGGGTAGGTTGAATTTACAACATACTTAGATCGACACGACCCACGGTAACTGCATAGTCTGCCCCGCATACAGGCCCCCTGGCTCGGAAGCTTTATTCGCAAGAGGTAAGCTGTCATGAAGGTACGTACCTTTTCAATGATTGAATGGATCCTCATGTTCACGACAACCTCAACCTTTAATTATTGATGAGACTAAGCCTCGAGTCGCATAAACATTGGTTCGATCATGTCGCGACTTCTTTGTAAGTACTACTTGAATACAGAAAGACTTACGCTTTGAGAACACTCCACGCTAATGCATTCATTCATCCATAGCATCGGCGCTCTCGCTACGTCGCGACCCTCGTATCCTGAAGCTACCTCCTTATTTGTCCTTCTTCTGTATCGCCATCGGTGTTATCTGGCTGTTTCTTCTACCCCTGAACGAATACTCGCGGCGAACATATATCTCGGAGAACGCTCTGCTGCCTGGACAAGTCCACACGTACTTTGGAGGAAGCGAACAAAATATCTTCCGCGCATACCGCCACGAGGTTGATGATGTTGTCAACAAGAGCAACTACGAGTGCGTTCTGAACTCGGGCAGTGATTCGATTAGCTCAATGCTAACACAGCTGGCTGCATTAGGGTCAACGATAGGCTGGATAAGATTCTGACCGGTGTCGGACTCAAGGTTGGACGTCAGAACTACACCTACAACTCGGCTGGCCATGAGTACTCAGGGCAAAATCTCTATGCTATCTTACAAGCTCCCCGCGGTGATGCTACAGAAGCTATAGTCTTGGTTGCTGCATGGAAAAACGTTGAGGAGCAGCTTAACCGTAACGGCGTATCTCTCGCTTTAACTCTTGCCCGTTACTTTAAACGTATGTGCCCCTGAAAGGCACGGAAGAAACGAAAGAGGGACTAACAAATACAGGCTGGTCCCTGTGGTCCAAAGATATCATTCTCGTGTTCCCGCCCGATAGCAAGACAGGCACACAGGCTTGGGTAGACGCATACCATGATGCCCACAACCCTGACCTTGTGGCCCCCCTACCTCTCAAGTCCGGCGCTCTCCAAGGTGCTCTTGCTATCGACTACCCACAAGAGCAAAGCTTCAAGTCTGTGCACATAATCTACGACGGACCCAATGGACAGCTTCCCAACCTCGATCTTATTAATTCTATAGTCAATATTGCTGGTGGCCAGATGGGCATCAGCACTTCTATCCAGAAGATGACAAAGCACACGGGCACGTACCCCGATCGCCTTCAGACTATGCTACGTGGTATGATTAACCAAGGCCTCGGCTACTCAGCAGGTGCTCACAGCAGCTTTATTCCCTATCACGTTGACGCCGTTACTCTTCAGCCTTACGGCGAAGGATGGCATGACGAAATGGCCATGGGCCGTGTGATTGAGGGCTCATTCCGGAGTTTGAACAACTTGCTTGAGCATCTGCACCAAAGTTTTTTCTTCTATTTGTTGATGCAGACCGACCGGTTTGTCAGTATTGGAACTTACCTTCCAAGTGCCATGCTGATTGCCGCCAACTTTACCATCATGGCTATCTCTCTCTGGGTAAAGAGCGGCCAGTCGCCAGCGACAGAGAAGTCTAAGGAAAGGAAATCGGTCACCTCTGTCGATACGACGCAAGCCGGAAGAGATCTATTCGTTCCGCTGGGTGTTGTTGCTGTCTGCCAGGGCCTCGCAGCCATGCCTCTATACACCTTCAACCATCTTCCTGCCAGCGTAAGTATATCTACTGACTCGCTCCGAAATATAGTACTGACAATGTATAGTTGCTCTCTCCTGCGTTTGCCGGCTTCTCCATCGTGTCCGCCATCCTTCCCTTCACCATCTCTCGCCTCTTAGCACTGTTTACCAAGCCTACTATCCAGCACTTTCAGCTCACAAAGTCTTTCTCTTTGCTCGTTCTCGGAATGTGCCTCTCGACTCTGGCTACCCTCAATTTCTCTCTCGCTTTTCTCGTCGGGGTGCTCTCTAGCCCGCTGAGCTTTGTCCAGCCTGTGAAGAACCCAGCCCTGCGCTGGTCTTTGGCTGGGTTGCTTAACCTTGTGGCCCCGCCCACGGTAGTGTATGTCGCAGCCCAATTCTGGGATATCAGCATAGCAGACCTATTAAAGGAGGCGAGCTTCGGGTGGAATGTTTGGGGTATGTACACGCCCGTTGTTGTTTGGTGTCTTTGGTGGCCTGCTTGGCTCGTGGGCATGGTCAACGTTTTTGGAGAGGTCACTGCTTAAAAAAAAACAGCAGGTGGACTGACTGGCTGTAAGATATTGCATTCATAGGAGATAGAATCTGCGTAACTGCAGGATTTGTTTTTGGGCTTCGTAAAGTGGCTGATACTGGGTGTGGAATAGACCAACTTCAGAATTAAGAGTCTTGCTCTGGGTAAAATGCCGTCATCTACCACTAGAGAAGTTTCTATCTGTCTATACTGTACACATGGGTTCGCTTTGTTTGTCCTATACCCCTCCAAACACTCTTACCGGTTGCATGTCCTACGCGGCCCACACATCCTTGCCAGCCGACTCGATCCAGTTACCGAGTTGGTTGACGCTTGAGTCCCAGTCAAGTAGTCGCTGACGCATTGCGGCAATTTGCTTCATGTCGAGTACCTTGGGTTGAACCCAGGTGATTTGCGCAACACCATCTACCTGGTCAATGGTGCCTCGCAGCAGGCCAAGGCTCAAAGCCTTCATGATGAGATGTTCAATCTCTTCTGGACGAACCTTGGTCTCCTGAGAAATAGTAGCAAAAGTGAGGGTGCGGTCGTGGGGAGCACGACGGAAGACGGCCTCAGTGAGGGCAGAAAGGTAGATCTTCTGGCGAAGATGCGTCGAGTTGCTCTTAAGAAGTTTGTGGGTATCGACTCGATCTGACAGTTGATCATAAGCAGCAAGATCGCCACGGTTGAAGGCAAAAAGCAGATCTCGCATCCAAGAGTGCTCGCTCTTGGCGAGGACGTCAAGAATAGGGTGAAGGAGAAGTTCTCCGAAGTTGTAGATGCTGGTCGAGACGAGAGCAGCAATGCTGAGGTGATAAGCCCGCTTGTGTCGCTCCTCGGGAGAAAGCTCGTTGATATCGATACATGCAAGGTAGAGAAGGGCGGTGCGGTAGTAGTTGGAGAAGTCCATCTTGCGCTGAAGGGGGCATTAGTGGGGTTTCATGGAGGCATCCCAAGTTCTGAGACCAGAGTCGGAAGTTTAGTATTCGTACCTGGTAGTAGATAGCGTTTGCATCGTAGAAAGCAGCGTGTACAACATTCTCAACAGAATCAAACGAGTCCAATATTCTCTCGGCTGTATCGAGATCCTTACGCGCTCCGTCTAGTTCCTCCAAGTCTAGCTTTGCTTGGGCAACGGCAACTAAAGCGAAGACGTATGCGTCTTGAGAATTCTCGTTGTCAACCTTCTTGGCGACCGATTGTAGGAAGGAAAGGCGCTCCTCGTCCTCTATACCAACCAAACATCATCGATTAGCAACCCGCTGAGTCCAGGCATATTACATGGGGGCCTTACCATCGCACTCTGTTGCCGCCTTCAATGCTAGGTCCACAAGCTTCAACTGATTGATTTTATCGGCGAACTTGAGAATAAAGACTCTGTAGAATTGTAGCCTTTGGGGGGCGCTCTCGGGATGGCTGAAGAAATCGACGAGGGCATCAGTAAGTTGGTGCCAGAGCTTTCGTTCCCAGAAGTTCTCGAAGTCGAGAATGAGAGGCTGCAACTCTTCAGGAGCTTCATCTCTCTGCTCGGAGAGAAAGTCGGCAATAGCGTCGTTACTCATGTTGGCTGTTGTGTATGTGGTGTCGGTAGAATCGGGGAATATGGGTGACGTGCACAGCTAGCTAGCTTGCCTGCCCTTTCGGTTCGTAGAGTATATCTTGCTGAACCAGGGCTGGTCTCTCCTAAAAGAGCCTCACTAAATATCGAAGTTCAGTTCAGTTTGTCGTGATGTCGTTTGGAAGTCGTCGCGGTGATCGGTGAAAGTGATACGTGAAGGTTGATAGTTACTGCAGTGGAGATAGAGGGATGGAGGTCCTTAGCTCATCAATGAGGCTATCAGGCAGCCTGGTTGTCGCAACATGGAGAAGCACGGACCATTCTTGCTTTTGGAAGACCACCCCAAAAAGAATGGCCAATGACAAGCTGTAAGATTTTAGTGATTAGTCACGTGATCTACAATTACCGTTCCCCGAGGCTCTACCTTGGCTAGTATCACCAAACATTGCCTACGTACTGAAGACGAGACGATCTACGGCCAATTGCGAGGCACAGCAGCGTTTTGTCACGCAACCCGTATATTCGCAACAATGGCTTCGCCTCTCCTTGCTGCGCGGGTAGCCCGCAAGGCTGCTTTAAATGTCGCCGGCAAGCGATTCCTTTCCGATATTTCCATTACTCGAACTGGCAAGCCCATCATGCGTGTTGAGGGTGGCCGGTAAGCTGAACCATGGTCCATTGGCACTGTCGAGCCTGTCTCTAATCACATTTTTTATTTAGTTCATCCCTTGGAGGTACGACGATCGAGCTACAATGACCGCGAACGACACTAACGAAGAGCAACCAGGCCATACCGTTACCGTATTTGGCGCAACTGGCCAACTAGGACGATACATTGTCAACCGACTGGGTGAGCCAACCTCGTATTGGATCTTGGTAGTGGGAGATGATCAATTGGAATACTAACACGGGTACCAGCTCGCCAGGGATGTACCGTCGTCATTCCCTACCGTGAGGAGATGGCCAAGCGTCATCTCAAGGTCACTGGAGATCTCGGCCGTGTTGTCTTCATTGTACGCCTCAAATACATTGAATACCGTCAGGAACTTTCCAGTAACCTCGTACTTAGGAGCACGATCTTCGAAACACCCCTTCAATCGAAGCCAGTGTGCGACACTCGGATGCTGTTTTCAACCTGATCGGCCGTGATTATCCAACCAAGTATGTTGTTATAGCAGGGATCAAAGGGAAAAAAGGGAAACTAAATGACCGCCAGGAACTTTTCCTTGGAGGATGTGCACGTCGAGGGTACCGAGCGAATCGTTGAGGCTGTCTGCAAGTATGATGTCGACCGATATATTCACGTTTCGTCCCACAGTGCCAACTCTCAGTCCACCTCGGAATTCTATCGCACAAAGGTTTGTACAAGCCCAGCTTTACCAAGGAGGAGAGACTGATCAAACATCTAGGGCCGAGCCGAGGAGGTTGCCCGCAACCTTTTCCCAGAGACCACTATCGTCCGCCCTGCCCCCATCTTTGGTTTCGAGGACAACCTCTTGCTGAAGCTGGCTGGTGTTACTAACCTTTTCACTTCCAACAACATGCAAGAGAAGTTCTACCCCGTTCATGTAAGTTGCAGTGAAATTGATCGCCCAGTGCCCGGTTGCTAACAGCCATAGTCCATTGATGTCGGTGCTGCTCTCGAGAAGATCTTCTTCGACGACACCACTGCTGGACAGACCTTCGAGCTTTACGGACCCAAGAAGTACAGCATGGAGGAAATTTCTGTTATGGTTGACAAGGAGATTTACAAGCAGAGACGACACGTTAACGTGCCAAAGGCTATTCTGAAGCCTGTTGCTGAGCTGCTGAACAAGGTGCTTTGGTGGCACACTCTGTCAGCTGATGAGGTTGAGAGAGAGTTCTTGGACCAAGTCATCGACCCCAAGGCCAAGACCTTCAAGGACCTCGGCATCGAGCCTGGTGACATCATCAACTTCACCTACCACTATCTGGTGAGTGCTGCTGACTGTCGTACTGAAACGCATAAACTAACCCCTATCCAGCAAGGATTCCGAAGCCAGAACTACTACGATCTTCCCCCTGCGACAGAGAAGGAGAAGCGGGAAGAGAAGAAGTACATCCACGTCCTGGACGAATTGTAAAGAAAAGGAATCGGATTTTTGCGTGCTATGGATGCTGGAAAGGCAGTTGAGGATTAAGGGCTGAGCGGACAGGTCGATAATAGTCCGTGTATATAGGACCGCATAGACTAGAGGTGTGCGAGATCCGACAATTGTACAGGTTTTCTTTGGGTTGAAAGTATATCAGATAATTGAAGTTCAGGAAAGAAGTCAATCCACATCCGACTACCCTATAGTGATATCCCCTTTTACAGCTCCCATAGACCGTTAGAAGAGCAGCAACGAGTACCCCGCCGAACCCCCACACAAAAAACCCTTAATCATCTTGAATCTTTGCGCTCAGTCGTACATCGAGACAAGAAGAGAGTCTCAACCACAACTTTCCGATGTCTTTTGATGATGAAGAACCTATGTAAGAAGAGCTTCAGATGCACTTGTTGTATGAACCGCCCCAGTTTACTGACTTTTGTTGGTTTGCAGAAGCCTCTCGAGTCACGCCCTGACCGCGTTAGCCGAATTCCACGCCGAAAAAGATGCCCATGAAAAGACGTTCCAGAAGTTGAGGACCGGCGCCGCCCCCAGAGCCGGAGCCGGACTCGGGGTGGTCGAACCGGAGGATGAGGACCCCATAGCAGAAGACGTGGACGACCAGCCGCTGAGCATGGCCGCCTTTACGGAGGACTGGAACGAATCGCAATTCTGGGTACGTAAAACGAGGTGTAGAAAACAAGGCGCAGAGCAGATCTGTTGTCCAGTGGCCTTTCACCTTTGGCTACGCCAGTGGAGATGGCTTCTCGGGTCGACTCCCAGGATCTTGCATCGAGTGATGGGGTATTTATTACGTACTGGTCTAGCATTGGGTGCTCTTGGCGCGAGACATGCGCCTAGCGATAGACGACAACTTCATGATATTGACAATCCGAAACAAGAAAAAGTTAGAAAACTCCCCAAAAACTGACATCCTGGCAATTTAGTTCCTGGACGAAACTGCCTTTGCCCTGGCCGATCAGCTCCTCGATGGTGCATCGTCGAGTTCAACAATTGGTGTGGTGTCGACACCAAGTGTGTTCATTGCGCTTAAGAACCGTCTTGTAAGCAACATCCTTACGACTTCCCCCCTTACTCAAAGAGGGCATGTGCACAAGATATGCGTTAACTAACCGTTGTTGTATAGAGGTTCTGGCCTGTCCAAGATCGACCAAAGTTGGTGTTGTTTGAGCATGACCACCGGTTCAGCGTGTTCCCTGAATTCATTTTTTACGACTTCCAACGACCTCTCCAACTTCCACGTATGGTCGCTTTCATCTGCTGAATGCTGTGCTCGGTCGACTAACTCGGTGTCATCAGATAACCTGAAGGGCAGCTTGGACAGTGTTATTATTGACCCTCCTTTCTTCAGCAATGATTGTCAGACAAAGTGTGAGTTATACCATGATCCTCCGAGCAGTCCTCACTATGTAGTCTGGCGAAGAAATCTTTGTAACTCAGAAGCATATCTTCAAGTATTCTTCCGTACTGACGTGCCATTCACGCAGTTGCCCTGACCGGCCGCTGGCTAATCAAACCAAATTCGCCCCGTGTCATTGTTTGCACTGGCGAGCGAATGGCTCCCATCATCGACAAGCTTTATAGCTCTGTCGGAGTCTACCCAACCACGTTTGAGCCTGCCCATGCAGGCTTAAGCAATCACTACTACTGCTACGCCAACTTCGAGAGCTCGACCTGGGACTGGCGATCGGATGAATCCGATTAGTAGGCGGAAGGACAGAACTACAAAGTTTTTTTCTTGGAATAAGAAACATGCTGTATTGGAACCACCGGAAGAGTCGTGAAAAATATGGCCGGTCAACTGACTGAAACTTTGTTAGACCAAGCAGCACATCCAACTTACGGAGATGCCAATGGGTTTTGCCAGCCTATCCGCAAACGAAGGAGTTCGCCTGGCGGAGGAAAGCCGGAGAAGCACATGGAGACACCGTGCAATATTATGTTAACACTATGCTACTGCAGGTATTAATGAAACTGAATGCCCGCACCATGCAATGCATCAAACTACAATCGTCGGTTTCCGATGAACATGATTTCTGTTTGCCTGGGTTCCATGTCTATTGACGCCTTTCCCACCCATCCAGCTCATGATAGTTTGTTCTCACTATCATATAGAACTAGTTGTGTTCACACAGTTTAAGCTAGTGAGCGAATAATATAGAAGAGAAGATAGGCCTGGGCCCCAAGAACGTCGGATAAGCTTGCCAACTCTACTTTGTGATCATTGAACTTGAACCACTTTTTCATCTGTTAGTGTTGTACTATCATCTTGAATACTGGCAAAACTTACCTGGTCGCCGACTCGACAGTACGATGTGTAGTGGCCGGTGTCTAGCTCACCGACGTGAACCACGACGCTGAGTAGGTCATACGTACAAGACCGCTCTAGCTCAAGGCTTTCTCGGCTGTCGTGATTCCGAACTCGATTAGTGTAGGGCATCATATTGAGTTGTAGCGGGAACTTGACTTCGTTATCAACTTTGGAGGCAGCGCGGTCGTGTCGGCCGTGCCTGTATTCAAAACGCTAGGATATCCTTAGTGTGGTGCATCATCGTGGTTGACCCAAGACCATCGCTTACCTTAAGTTGTATCGACAGCACATTTGGCAACCGCTTTATGCTGGTGTGTCGTTTCGCTTGCTGGGTCCCGTTGCAGTTGTTGCACCGATACTCGCACTTGTCGTACTTGATGTATTCCTCATCCAGGCAATCCTGCAAGGAGACAGTAGGCTTCTTCTGTCCTGTCCTTTTACTCTTCTTTTGAACGACATTTTCGAGACCCAAGCTCAGGTCCAAGAATGATTGGATAGAGTTGCTTTGACCAGAACAGTTCTGGCATGTCGTTGTTGTTTGCATCTTACCATAAAATGTCTGATGCATAATACAGTTGCAACTATGCTCACTACCAATCTCAGGCTTTTTGCCGTCTCCGTTTCGTTCGTGGAGCTCCTCAGCTAAGAATTGGAAGAACTCGTGGGCATCTTGTTCCTTGGTGGTTACAAGATTCTCGAATGCCTTTTTCTCCGAAATCCAGAACCCCGACAAGATATTGGCAGCGGTGTAGCCATTGGTTGTCTCTAAAGCATAGAAATCTTGGAACATGTCATCCATCGCACAGCTCAAACAATGAGGAACCTGGCAGTCGCTACTCTGGTGACCATCGCTGAGATAGAAATTCCTGAGCAAAGGATTATGCAAGAAGCTCTGTAGAACGACATTCTGATAGCAGGTGGCACCGGCATTGTAGATGCCGCGTAGGCCGTTAGCTCGGCATGAAGCCGTGTTCGTATTGTTAGAAATAAACCGCGGATCATCCTTGAAAGAACCTGTGAACAACTCGTCGTGTTTCCTCTTTCGGCCTACATAACCGGTCAAGGTCAGCAAAAGGATCTTTGCAGAGATTGCCTGTTTCCTGGTTGTGGTTGGGCGATAATCGCGAACCCCGAGACGGAAAGACTGACCTGAAAAAGAACCCGTTCCTATCTTCCTCACCCGTAGCTCCTCGAGGGTTGGATCCCAAATATAATCGTCACATATCTGACAATAAAGGCATCCACTTCTAGAGTCGACATCTGCGCCATGTTAGCAGAGCACTAGGGGCAGCAGAGAGCAACCAACAGAATCGATGCTGTTTCTTAGTCCCATGCCGCAAGCGTTCTTCTTCGGTGACGGTTGACGGGCATTGCAGGCAGAGGTAATTCGAGGTGAGCGATGTGACGGGTCGGCCGTCTAACGTCGAGGTCTGAGGGACGATCGGTGTCGCATCAAAGATTCCGCGGAGAATCAACTTGTAGTGTGTAATAGAACTGTTCATGACCTCCTGGTTCTTGCTCAGGAGGAGTTGTATGTGTTCTAGAACAGTCAGAAAACGACAAATAAACTCGTGGTGATTGAAGCGACGAAAAAGACGAGGAGACGTACCGCAGCCAAACATAGGCAGCCCAGGGACCGGTGACTTCACCCTGACATTCTTAGGAGATGCCGGAGTTGTTGGCCGTGCAGACATTATGGGCGATTGAGTCTTTGTGATGGGCTCAACCTGGGCGAGGATGTGAAGCTCTTGTAGAACAAGGTTGATGAAAGGTAGCTCGAGTAGAGGCACGACGCGAAATTTATCGAGAGGCACGACGCCAGCGGGTATGGTATCGTACGGGAGATAGTTCCAATAGGTAACTCGATTGCGATTGTATCGGTGCTTCTTGATTATTCGTCGGGGGTCTGAATCGCGAGGCACAGGCCGAAAGTCGGACAATTGCTCGTCTTTTTCCGTCGAGGGGCTGAATTAACAGAAGGGAATGGAGTGTTATAAAAGAAGAGAAGATTTAGTCGGCAGCCTTTCAAGACAGAAGAGATGATGATCAGGATCTTTGAGCTGACTGGTTTTATTTGAAATTAATGCAATAATTGAATGAATTAGAAATGCAAGAATGGTCCAGCGCGCAGAAGTGAAGCCACTGTAACTTAAAGTATATCAAGGACAGGGCAGGAGAGAGCCCGATGGGAGAGATTGCAGCAGGTGCAGGCTGCCTTAGTGCGTACCTTGTCGGCTGAGATTGGCGGAATAGGTACATCATAACCGTAAAAATCACACCCTTGTCATGCAGGGCGATAAGATAAGCATGCAGCTACTAATGTAGATACTACTTATTAGGCCAGGCCCCATAAACATTAAATGTGATTGAACAATTAGTAGTTACCTGGGGAAAGCGCGTTATTGGGTTATGTGACTTGTGATAGATAGAACGATTCGTATTTCTTGTTTATCAAGTACAAATAGCCTGTGTAAACATTAAGTGCATAGGTAAATCGGGGACAAAAGTAGGAAATAGGTTTGGCGCAGATTTCTTGCTGCTAGTTCAGGTACACTCATGTGGTCTTTTTACAGAAGCTTTATTGATGCGATGGAAGCTTGTTGTTGCTGTTGTAGTTAAACAATCAGCCACTAATGCAGCACCTGCCACAAAAGTTGAGTTGAGTTACAGCTTGAGCCGAGGTTTACCAATCTTCTCCATTCAATCCCTTGTATGTGTAACCGAGCGACTTGCCTAAACCTGTGCTTTAGTGTCTCTACCTAGGTACCTATATATGCTATTGGATTTCTACATTGAAAATGAGCTCAAACGCATTTGAATAAAAAGTCAATCCGTTCCTGGGCCACTCTTTCAAAAAAGTCTCCACATCACCTCACTTAACCCACCGAACCCCCGGCTCCGATCCACGGCTTCCAGCTCCGGACCCTCTCCCGATCAGCGCCTTGACTTTTTCCGGGTGTTCTGATAAAGCAGTCCAACAATTCAAAGATCATGGCAACGCAACTCATTGCTCTGCCGGCCGTAGAACGTCTCAGTCCTACTTGCATACGCATACTGGGCGGCAATCCAGGAAAATTCACTCTTCAAGGTACAAACACTTACCTTCTTGGCACAGGCCGAAGTCGACTCCTCATTGACACGGGTGAGGGGCGCAAGGCTTGGATCACTTCGGTTCGCGAGATACTGCAGCAGGAAAATGCAACCATCGCCACTGCCTTAATCACGCATTGGCATCATGACCATACCGGCGGTATTAAAGACCTCCTGAGTACCTCTCCTCAGGCGAGAATCTACAAGCACACTCCCGACGACGGACAGCTCGACATAAAGCACGGTCAGCGCTTTGAAGTCGAGGGCGCGACCTTGACAGCTGTATATACGCCAGGACACACCAGCGATCATGTCGTGTTCGTGTTTAAGGAGGAAGATGCAATGTTTACTGCTGACAATGTCCTCGGCCAGGGCACAGCTGTTTTTGAGGATCTGGTCACATACATTCGGAGTCTCGAAGAGATGAAATCTCTCTTCAAAGGTCGAGCGTACCCCGGACATGGACCAGTCATAGAGAATGGACCAGCCAAGATTGCAGAATATATTGCACACCGACGACAGCGGGAGGAACAGGTTATTCGGACCCTGAAAACAGGACCGGGAGACGTAGAGACGAACGACCCCGCATCATGGTCGGAGTGGACGGCAATGGACTTGGTCGAAGTTATCTACAAAGATGTGCCGAGGGATCTTTATCCAGCTGCTTGTGGTGGTGTTTTGCAAATTCTGGGAAAGTTGGCGGGCGAGGGTCGCGTGGCTCATGATGGCGAGAAATGGAGGATGATTGCAGATAGCCGATCGTCGCTATGAGGTGGGTTGTGGTGAAAGTGACAGGACTTCAGTAGATATTTGGCCGCAACTTGACGAAACGAAACGAGAGCATCACCTTCGGATCTTTCTTCATCGTCATTCAGTTTTAAATGGATCGCTCCGTCGCCTAACTGTTACTACGTTATTTATTCCTAACCATGACCAAGTGACTGACTGGTGGAGGTGACCAGGTGGTATTAACATAGGTCTCCATCCTTGTAAACACGATAGGATCCCCATGCAGAGCTAAAGCAGTCATTGTATCGCTTAGATAGCGAGCACAGTAGCGCCTGAGTAGCTGTCATTTAGGTAACTACGTATTGCAGGATGATATAAACACGGGCTTTCTTTCTAACGAAAGATACTGCAATATTTTTTTAGCTTGATTGTGCCAGTAACAGACTTGCGGAAGTGATAGAAAAATGAAACATGAGGAGAAAGGCACAGTCCTAGCGTCTTCATCAGTAACATACGACGTATACTTCGCCTGGAACATGTTTCATAGTACAAGACAAGTGAGCGTGGTGGTGGACCAGCACATTACAAAAACCAGAAAATTAATAATGCATTATGGGTTGAGACCAGATGTTCATTTGTTTATGAGAATAAACGTGTGCATAAGAATCAGTGTCCAATAATAAGTGAAGCTGCAGGGTCTTATACACCACTTGTTATGCCCAAAGAGTCCTCCACCTTACAATCCTTGCATTTTGAGTCATACGACTGTAGTAAAGACTGAAAGAAGGTATCTTGTGATCTTTGACATCTGTTGGTCTTGGTGGACTGCCGGAATCATCGGGGCATTTGGGAAAAACCAAGCGCGATTCCATTTCTTGGTAGCGGAGGTGCATGCTGCCAAGAAATTTCGGAGGTCCTTATGTCAAAGGGCGTTACGCTATGGTAGTGATCAAACATGAGTGCAAGAATAGCGTAAAGTTATAGACATATACATTGCTTGTTAGCCTTTGAGATTTACTCACATCTGGTAAACGGAGTATATTGTAGCCTAGTCGCTTACATCGTGTACCTGAAGCAAGTGGAAATAATAATGATAATAATAATCAAATAATGAAAAATGTTCAGACTGTCCATGGATTAGATAGTGGATAGGCCCGGTAGTCCACAGCGGAATGTTCGGTTGCATGACAAGCGGGATGATATACTAGCGCCAAATGCTGCCGGCACTTTAACTTTAGTAAGTTCTTCTTGTAAGTGAACGTCCCGACAGCAATGTCTTGAAGAAGTGTTGGGTATATATTGGGAATTCAGTTATAAACTTGCCAGTAAGTCTTTGTAGAGCAACTCCAGCAAGTACCTAGCTACCTAGCTGTCTAGAATTACGAAAACAAAATTAAGGACATTGAGAATTGGTCATAGCCCACTTCATCTCCAACCAATTTATACATGATGCTCCTGCCGTTGTTATAGGCAAGATAAGTGCGCTTGATATTCATGTCGATCGTCGATCTCAGGCTTAAAAAAGGCGCAATACCGTGAATACTCGGAATTAAAAGAAAGAAACTTGGTAGGTAACATCCCTCAGGGTATCAGAAAAATTGACCGCTGGAACTATAAGAGATGAAATTAGTGGGTCACTCTATGCCCCTTAAGATATAGTTCTTAGACTACTTATTTTTATACCCTAAGACTTAGGAGGCCATTTTTTCTGCTACCCAGTAGACATCATATACCCTAAAAAGAGGTAGTGGACCTACCCCCACCGGCCGGCCCCGTTGGGCCCCCCCACCAAAGCTACCGCGCCTGCTTACCGCATACTAAGTGGCATAAGAGTTATTAAGGTGGTGGGTTTCTTTCTCGACTTTTCTCATTTGTTGTTTTTCTTCTTTCGGTACATAATTGATGAAAATGACGAGATGAAGCAACTCGGAACCTTCGGATGGCCTCTGCTATTTCTTGGCTTGTTCATTGCCATTAGATGGATACGCCCACACAGTTTCGGTTGCTCGGTCCCTGCTTGGATGGTTTCCATATCATGTTTTAAATCAATGCCATGTCGAGGCTCCTTGAAACATTTTTGGTCCTATACTCCAGTTCGATCGCATGATTACACATATATAAACGTTGTTCCTGTTTGCGTCTAATTGTACATACATACTACTAATGTATATCATTATTGTTTACGACACCGTCTTGACTCGACTCTCAAAACAAAAAGCCGTGTTTCGAGGAGTGTTCTCAACATGATCTATAACAAAATAACTCCGTTGGTTTTGAACGCGTTATGGCTAGTACTTTTCCCTGTCGTTGTTGCACACAACCATGGCCAAGGCACAGGCAAGATGGAGATGGGAATAGACCACGGCAGCAACACAACACAACCACCCAAACACCAAAACTATCCTGATACTTACTTTGCCCATCCCGAGCATTCTGGAACCATTTACACACACATTGCCTTGATGGTTATTTCTTGGGTATTCATCCTCCCCATCGGTATGTCCACCTCAGCTAAATGCTACTTCATTTGTTTTGTGCACCGACTTACACAAACCACAGCTGTCATGTTATCGCTGGCACGTTCTCGCTTTACTTTGCCTGCACAATTCGTCTTCCTAGCTTCAAATACTCTGGGAGTCTTTCTAGGCGTCATCTACAACACCCAGACCCCAGACTTGTATCCTGGTAATGCGCACCACAATATTGGCTGGGTTGTGACCTGGGTTATCTGCGCCCAGGTGCTTGTGAGTGCTGTGGGTCACATTGCCGGTACTCTCCGAGGGAATGGAGGGAATGGAAGCAGCAACGAGGAACATTATTTCTTACCTGTACCAAACCCAGAGTCCGAATTAACTTTTAACAGTGGCTACCACGACGACCGTCCATACCGTACTTCCGATGTCACCGGACGAGGCACCGAGCCAGACAGCCCTTCGCTACAGAGTGACTCGGTATCGACGCTCAATGGTATGGGATCGCCTCTGCAGTACCCCGGGAAAGAATACGAAGACAACCAAGACTCGGAAGCGCCTTCATTGTCATCCACTGTACCTCAGGGAACTTTAGCCCGTCATGTGTCCAAGGTTGCAATATCAAGAGTCTGGAAGTACCTCGACATTGGCCATAAGGTGGTTGATCGCATTATTCTTCCTTTCGGCTCCATCGCGATTGCCACTGGAATAGCCACTTTTGGCCGCTTTTTTGTCAGTTGTCTATTAGAAATTCCAAGTAAACTCTAGTCAATCTAACACATCGTCGATAGGAAGGAGAGGGAATTTTCAATGGCTTGGCGCACTGGATCAAGGGCAGCGTCTTCTTCTGGCTGGGCATCTTCACCCTGGGACGCTGGTCTGGCAGCTTTGGCGAGCTCGGCTGGGCATGGAATGTTCGTCCTAAGAAATACTCTCAGGGATGGCGTCCTTCTGCTGAGCTCGTCGAGAGCTTCTTGATCTTCTTCTATGGCTCTACCAACATGTTCATGGAGCACCTTGGTGGTCGGGGAGGGGCTTGGACTGCGCAGGATATGGAGCACATCTCCATCACTGTACTTTTCCTTGGAGGAGGTCTGGTAAGTCAAGGCCTTGTAGGCTCCCTGCCGAATCTCCCAAGACAGTTCAAAGACTAACCATGAAAAATCCAGTGTGGCATGCTCATCGAGTCGACTTGCATCCGTAATCTCCTGAACATGACTGTCCAGGACATCAAACTAATAAATCGACATGCAGTCGAAGACGCAAACGAGACCGAGGGTCCTGACACATACGAATTGTCGCTTAACCCCACCCCAGCTTTGGTGATTATGCTGCTTGGACTCATGATGAGCTCACACATACAACACACCATGATGTCCAGCATGGTTCACAAGCAGTGGGGAAATTTACTCCTCGGAGCTTCGCTTGCTCGCGGCCTTACATACTTTTTGATGTTCCTCAAACCGCCAAAGTCCATTCTTCCATCACGACCCCCTACCGAACTGCTCGCCGCGTTCGGACTCATATCTGGGGGGATTATCTTCATGGCTAGCGTAAGTTAAACCGTATTGCAAGTTCACGTTGACAAACTAATTTGAACCAGAGCACTGACACTGTTGATGGCATGATCCATTACGGCCTCGATGCCATGTTCATGTATACCGTCACAATGGGCCTTGTCGGACTCTTGATGGCCTGGATTATCATTGTCCTTGCCATTAAGGGATGGGCCGTGCGAATCGAACGACGCTGCATGTCGAAACAGTAAGTCGATAGACGTATATGTGCACTTAAATAGGAGGATATGAAGGATTACTGTGGTTTGGCTTGGGTGAAGCGATGTGTAGATGGAATGGCTGTATTGAGTTCGGGATATAGTGATAGTTCTGCTTTGAGATACCCCTTGATGAAACGGCCTATAATTGACGCAATGCTGAACTAAACCGAGCATCAGTATTGTCCGTAATGAACATAATACTGACTCGTGAATACTGCGATAATGTTGATGTCGTCTGACGGACGAACCAGCTTCTGTCAGCCAAACTAGAATATTGGTGTTCCAACGTGCTCTCGTCTAATGGGAAATGGCTGAATGCGCCCCCGAAAGATCTTCGGTGCCCTGAGTCTTTAATATCGATGTTTTGTCGAGCATCTTCGGCTGCTTGACCCAGAATGACTGAACTGGCGGGTACAGTCCTCTCACACATTCTCTTCCTTGCCCTTCGGTTCAGCTATCACTCTCTTCTGGTCCTCTGACGAGAAAAGGCCAGCGCCCTGCTGCAGAGCGTGAACAAGAAACGGGACGGAGTCGGTCTTAAAATCTTCAGCGTTGCGAACCTTGTCGAGATCCTCTGAAAGCTCTTGTGTGGCCCGCTGGAGGTAGTAAGTTGTGAACTCAGCGGAGGACTGGTTTGTAGGTTTAGAAGACATGTTGGCCGAATTCGGACTAATATTTATGGGATGGTCTGATTTGGCACAAGAAGTTGCCGATTTATGTTTGTGGTTGTGTAGCCAAGACGATGTATAAGAAGACTGATCTTTAAAAATGAGAAGGAAGTAAAAGTTTATCAACTAAGGCAACCAAGAAACAGTGCATGGACGATATAAATTGCATTTCACACTGTGCATCGTCATCCAACGGCCATGGATAACGGCACGTAGTTTACTTGGACCAGGCTGCCAGGCCAAATGATTGTTTGTTTAGAGTTTAGTAAAGTTCATTCTGTATATGTTGCAAGAAGAGAAAGTGAATAAGGACCAGTAAGCTTATGGCGCCGCTGTTCTTACTATCTTACCAGTACGTTTGGTAGAATTTCAGTGACTCGGATCACGACCTAAATTGCTCGAAGCGTTTTTCTTCTTCTTTCTTTTACATTTCAACAGTCTATCTGAGGAAGCTCTTCCACTAAGCACGTCTGCACTCAGACCATCTAATACGATGGGTGGATCAAACTCCGTAAAACATGTGGCAATCCTTTCGAAGCCACGCATCCATAACAACGCCTTGCGTGCCTCATCAACATTAATCATAAAAGAGAAACAGCGAAGCAAGTTTAGTGAGAAATATACTGGAACACAGCAGAGACCTCCGCTTCTCCGCATTCTTGTCTCAGCAGCAAATCCTGAATAGGTTTCAGCCCCTCGTTGACAAAATGATTCCACGTACTCGTGTCACCATACAACATGGCTGGTGCCTTGATATACTGCTTGCCGTCAGGCTTGCATCGCTTGCATTTGAACGTCTCATGAGTATCGCTCTTGGTGTCTGACCGGTACTGAAACAGCTCGCGTAGACTGTCGAGAGAGAAATGTCGTTCCACGTCTTCCGCTGAGTCCACCACACAAGAAGACAAGCTTTGCTTGTGAGATTGTCTTTGGAAGATTTTCTCTTCTATAGTACCAGTTGCGATGAAGCGGTACACAAAGCAGTCCTTCTTCTGCCCATCACGCCATACTCGAGCCAGAGCCTGTTGGTCGGCCGCAGGGTTCCAGTCAGGATCAAAAAGAACGAGACGATTTGCACCAATGAGGTTGATACCACATCCACCGGCTTTGCTACTGAGTAGAAAGACAAACTCATCACCCTCTGGGTCGTTGAACCGATCGACAAGCTTTTGGCGCTTGTTGACATTCATGGTACCATCGAGACGAAGACTTCCGTATTGACGGGAACGGCATAACTTTTCGAACAGGTCCAGCGTCGAAGTGTAGTTACTGATTAGAACAATCTTGTCATTTGTGTCTTGGCGGATGCGAGCCAGCATGCGGTCCAGCACGGCCATTTTACCAGAGTACCACGACTTGACCTCACGATCACGACCACGTGCTTCTTTAGGAACGTAATCATCGGGATAGCACTTCTCCGAGCCTGGTAGATCATCCGACATATTCAACAGGTCGGGATGATTGCAAAGCTTTTTGAGAATATTGATGGCTTTTAGAGGTTGGCTTCCCTTACCTCGCAAAAGAGCCTGAATCTCAGGACTTTTGATGAAGTAGTTGTAGAGATCAAACTGAAACGGTGCGAGATTGCAGAACACAACATGCTCATACTTGACGGGCAAATACTTGGAAAGAATGTCGTTTGTGCGACGGATCAGGAATTTGTTGACCACGCTGAGTAGAGCTGCAGTGCACTCGTCACCCTTCTTGCGATCCGCTTCTGAAGCGTCTGCATCTCGACCTCGCAAGATCGGAATTTCATATCGCTTTCGAAACTCCAAGCGTGTCCCAAGCAGATCTGGGTTCGCAAAACTTGTGAGAGAGAAGTATTCCGTCAGATCATTCTGAATAGGTGTGCCAGTAAGAATGACACGACGAGTAACGTTGAGGCTGTTGAGAGCATTGAAAGTATTGCTGTCACTATTCTTCAGTCTGTGACCCTCATCACAGAATAGTAACCCGATCTTGGTATGCTTGAGCTGTTCCACATTTAATCGCAGAGTTTCGTAAGAGACAATGATAACGGGCCGGGTTACGGATCGCCCGGTCGCATTTGCCCACTGTTGAAGTTGACGTGTCAACTCTTCTTTAGAAGCTTTCCCATCGATGGCGAATGGATTGATGGCATTAGCACCAAGCCATTTGGTCAACTCATTGGCCCAGTTCTTGACCAAACTTGCAGGGCAAACAACGATAGCCTTCTGGATGGTTGACTTGCCAGCATCAGGCGACTGCTTGAGCAGCGTCCACATGAGGGAGATGCACTGAAGAGTCTTTCCCAATCCCATTTCGTCAGCCATGATGCAACCGTTGGCTTTCTCGTCGATCAGGCCGGTAACACATCGGTACATGAACTTGACACCCTCGACTTGATGCGGGCGAAGAATCTTGGCGAGTCTGGGATCAATGACAACCGGAACCCGAGGGTGCTCGTCGTCCGTTTTCTTCTTGATTCCTAAAATCTCGGCAAGACTCTTATGAACAAGGGGTGCATCGAGTTTCTCCTCCAAAGCCTCTGCTTTCGCGGGCTCAATAGCCTTTGGCGTGTCTTTCGGCTTGTCGTCGACTGTAGGATCGTAAAGCACAATGGCAAATTCGCCGCTGGGATCGTGAAGCGGCTTGGCGACGAAGACAGCGCCCTGTCGAAGGCCGAGGGTAGGAGGAGCACGATTAGGATTGTATCCAGAGTTGTCCTTGTTTTTTAATGGAACAGCGAAGGCCTTGCGAAAAACAAAACCTTTGTCTTTTGCTTGATAAACAGGGAATCGGTTGATGTCTCGAGTGACGAGCGCAAGTCTGTCGTCGTTGGAATACGGTTTGTCACTATCTGCTTCACCATCGGCGCCGCCATAATCGACCTTTCTCCGCTTGCGGGATGGTCGGTCCACAGCTGGGCTTCTTCCAGCAGCTCCAGGACATTTGAATGGTTTGTGAAGTCGGTCAATTGAGGAAGGTGTTGGCGTTCGCTTGCCCGGAATCTTGTTCTTGCCAGCAAGCGGCGTTGCCACAAGTGGTGACCTGAATATCACATTAGAAGTCGCACTAATAACCAGATGGACATCGGAACCTACGCTGCTCCCATATCGAACGGATTGGATCTATTAAGGGTTAGGGAGAGGTTGTTGAGGTTTGCAAGATCCCTTGCCACCAAACAAAAATTGATGAAGGGAAGGAGTGATAAGCAGGTAAGCGCGATGAGTAACTCAACGCGACGGGTCGCAGGCAGACACGCTATCACGTGAGTCGCCTCTATCATTTCCGGCTTTTCGACTAACTTAGCATTAGGGTACTAGAAAAGTCGACCGCCTGGAGTATGACAGACTAAATCACTAGGCCAACTCATGCCACTTACACCATACTTCTCAAGATCCTTATTTTTGTCGCCTAAAGTTTAAAGGTTAAGTCTTCTGTTACCCACTGGCTTGGACCTCAACGGAAGTCGAGACCGACCCTGACACAGGCCGAGAAGCTTGGACTTTGAACTGGATCCACTAGCTTAGGTAACCCATACGAAAAGAATCATGGAAGTCAATAATGATGGGCTGGTGGCAAGACATGTGTTTTTACTCTCGATTCATCTTATTCTTTAGTCTTACACTGTCTAGTCAAGGATGATGATATCTGGAAATTCGCTTGTTGCAGCGCCGTCAGGGTAGGTCACAACCACTCGCTGATCACCTGCCCTCTCTGCAGTTCTCAAGAACCCCGGATCACTAGATAGGTAACTAACACATGCTTCAAGCGTTAATCTCTCTAACCCCGATCAAAGCCGATCGGTCGGTGGAGATGTCCTTGCCGAGCATGAATCCTTTGGACCGACCCCTCTCCAAGTCGCAATTGCTCAACATCGTACTGGAATCGTGACTGCTACAGTTGCTGGACATTTCGCCCATTGGCAATACCTTACTCGATCTCAGCGAATTAACGTCCAAGCTGCTGCAAATCGAATTCCTCTTGCACGACTCGGTTTAGCCTGGGGTCTTGTTTACCTCGGCGTGTTGAGTACTATTACCATTGCTCAGCGTAAAGTCGCAAGAAGTTCGGACCCTCTTCTCTCGCCTCTGAAGCCATAAAGAGATAATTTTATCATGTCGGCCGATTTCTGGGCTGGCTATCTAAGTGGTGCGGTTGGCATCATCATTGGAAACCCTCTCGATGTTATCAAAGTACGACGGCAGGCGCAGCAAGTTAGTCCAGCAGCAGTCCTGCCTACTTGCTCGATTCCTGCGAAGACAACAGTAGAAAATCCTGCCATTAGCCAAGCCACATCATTTGGCACTCGTCTCCTCAGATCATACACGTCTTTAGTAACTGGAACAGCGGCGCCAATTCTCGGCTATGGCGCCCTCAACGCTCTGCTTTTTGTTTCTTACAATCGCACAGAATCCGCATTGAACAGCGTGTTCCTGACATCAGGGAGCCTGTGGAATACATGGATTGCTGGCGCTGTGGGAGGTCTTGCAACCTGGATCGTCAGCACACCCACCGAGCTCATCAAGTGTAGAGCTCAATTGGCCTCCCCTCCCATGTCAAGCCTGGCTATAACGAAACAGATCTGGAGGAATCAAGGTGTTCGAGGACTCTACTTTGGCGGAGCGGTGACTGCTCTACGAGATAGTATAGGGTACGGCTTTTACTTCTGGTCTTATGAGCTGAGCACTCGTTGGTTGGCCACTGAACCTGAGGAGCGCACTTCGTTTCAACATGAAGCTGCCAAAGTTTTATTCTGTGGAGGATTGGCTGGTGTGGTAACATGGGCCAGTGTCTTTCCTCTCGATGTTATCAAGACAAGGGTTCAGGTTCAGACGTTAAGCGAACTGATCGAAACATCACCTCTTTTGCGAACAAGCGGGCCTCTGCAGACCTCACGAGCGGGTGCCCTTCAAATTGCACAAGAAGCGTATAGGGAAGGGGGGGCACGTGTTTTCTTCCGAGGATTGACTGTTTGTAGTGTTCGGGCCTTCATCGTCAATGCCGCTCAATGGGCTGTTTATGAATGGGTCATGCTCGAGCTTGGGCATGGACGGAAACAAGCTTTGACTCATGACTTGAGAGTAGAAATGATATAGGCACTATAAAGTGCAAGATGTGGGATCAATGTTTTTTGGAGAAAAACAGAAACTAATGTTGAAACAATGCCGGCATGTTCTAAAGTGAGAAATGTATGCATTGATTGATCATCGAGTTCTAGGCTCATTGGCCAAAATGATTTCCCTTCGGTGAAGTTTGAGAGCGTGACATCTTGACATGCAAGACGAACGCAAGCCATTAACACGTGTGCGGTTATGATCGATACGGAGACCAGAAGAATGTATAGCCAAGACACATCTAAACCATCAAACACTCTAGAGAAGTGACTCAACCTCTCTAAAAAAAAAAAGATTATTAATAAAGAGAAAACCAATTACTCCTAATCCTTGCACTTAGCACGCGGCATTTAACCTGGCTTCACCTTCTTGATCTCGAATAGGATACACCAGGCGCCTTAACCCCCATCCCCATGTTTTGTTCTCCAATCGTCACTAACCAGTTTCAAACGGCGCCCTTTTCCTTGTTGGCTTTTGTCGCATCACGCCAACCTTCGAGGCCAGTTTGGTTTGTCCATCTCTGAGTGTCATCCTCATATTTTTCGAGCCACTTAGCCATGGCATCGCTGGCCTGAGCAACTATCGCGTTTCCAGCCTCGTGTGCGTCCGCCGCGTCTTTCTCGATTTTGTTCTGAAAAATGTCACCAGTCTTTTCATCGCGCTCCTTCCTCTTCTTCTCTCTTTCAGCCAGCCATTCTTTCCGACCTGCAAGATACTTGACACTGTGCCCAAGGCCTGCACTTTCATGCGAAATTCCCTTGTGAGGTCTCTCAAGGGGCGGGGCAGTGAAGAAAAGGACTCGCCCAGCACTGTCATGCTGGAAGGTCTGGCGGAGCTCTTGCGGTAAGGCGTCATTCATGCTGTCGGGGAGCGCATAGACTTCTGGTGGTCTTGGTGGGTTGTACGCATTGCCGCTTTGCACGGGCATCCCGGGCGTGGGAGCCATAGGGCTACGCACAACAGGAGGAGCAGGCGCTTGGTTGTAAGTTTGGGTAATGTGGTTTCCCATCGGGGTTTGTTGGTGCATGGGAGGCACTGGCTGCCCATAATTAGGAGCGAAGCTTTGTGCATACCCTGTCTGTTGATGTTGAGGCTGGTGCTGGTATTGCACAGGACGTACAGACACTTGGGGCTGAGGACCAAGGTGAGGTGGATGTGGAATTGGAACTGGAGTCTGATGAACCTGTGGAGGCTGGGCTCCTGGCGTAACTGGCTGAAAATGAGGCGTCATATGAGCGTTGTATGGAATAGGCGAAGGCGATGGGCCCCCAGGATAGGGCATCGAAGGATGTCGAGCAGAGTGGTCTCCGGGCATAGCACCTGGGACTGACAGCATGGACGCGCGCCTACCAGCATCAGTGCCAGCGTCGGATAGCGGGACAGCTGTCATAGCCTGCGGCGGAGGTGTGGGTTCTGGAGGAGGAGATTCCTTGGTGTTGTCAGTTGAGTGTGGACACACGCGATGGAAGAATGAAATCGACGATTGACTGCACAGCCTGAGGCACAAACGTTGCTCAGGATTAATGTCGGCTGACGATAGATGTGAATGTGCAGGCAGGGTAATGCACAGCACTGGCTGATAAAACCTTGATGGCAGCCGGCAGACCGATAAGCACATAGCGTGCGGGCCAACAAACAAAAACAGACAAACAATAAGGCAAATGAAGCTTCACTTACATTGATTTCCCTTGGACGTCGATGCACGGCTCCAACGATTGGCGGGGCATTTGGGCTCCCCCATGTTGGCTTTGGTAACTCATCTGTTTCCTTTGCGTCTTCGCGAAGTAAATGCTTAATGGGACTGGGGATCTTTTTCATGCGCCGAGGCACATCATAAAGGTCCATTTCGTAGTCCTTGTCGCGTACCTCATCAGGAACACAGCTCGCCCACGTCTTGATCTTGTTGAACGTGAATTTCTCCTCGTTGTAGCGCGATTCACATACATAGATCTCCTTACCATGAGGGAACCCTCGTGGACGGCCTTTGTTGAAACGTGTCACAAACATGACGAAACAGCGATCCAAGACGTCTTCAATCTGGTGGTCACGATATTGTCCAGTTTTAACCACCTCATGCTCGTAGAAATGCTTCTCGTATCGGTGTACAGTTTGTTCTGGACGGTAATACCAACAGGCATTAATCCATCTTTGGCCAGCCCTATCTTGCCAAGTTCGATAGATTTGCGCCACAGTAGGCTTTGCCAGGTCGTTGGGATTCCGAATGTGAACCCAATCGCCTATTTTGCTATTAGTCACGGATGCAATACAGATGAGCTGTTGTACAGGATGCTCTAATGCACGTACCAACTTTCCAGGATTGCTCGTGATACTGAATCTCTGCTAAAGGCAGCTTTCCGTCTTCATCTCGGAAATCGTCGTCAGGCTTAGCCTTCTCCTGTTCTGCCAAGAGTTGGGCCTCCTTTTGAAGTTCAACAGCAGCCTTGTAGACCTCACTGTCATCCTCATTATATCGTTTGGCGTTTTCGAACATGAGGTTGAGATCTTGTAGCACTTGGTCGACGTTTTGATACTTCTTTCGCTTTACCTTCTTTTTAATGTTGTCAAGGGCGATGGGATTCTGTATTGTCGTATAGTAATCAGGAACAGCCGCCTTATCCGGCAACCTCTCAAAGGGATGGACAAGGAGATGCCCCCCAGCATCCCTGGGCTTTCTCAATCCCTTCAGAATTGAAGTGATGCGAGCTTCATTCGGAGTAAGCACACTCGGAGGTCGTCCCCTTCGCTTATGCGAATCGTCTTCGTAGTCTTTGTCTTGATCTTTGCGCCCAGAAGCACGTCGTCTTCGTCCGCGATGTCGCCCACCTTCATCTTCGGAGTCGTCATCATCATCATCTTCTTCTTCGTCTTCATCTTCATCCTCGTCCTCGTCGTCCTCGTCGTCTTCCGCTGGTGGCGACTCTTCTGCTGGTGGGAGCTCACCAAGATCGGGCAACTGCGTATCGCTTGCTGCGATGTGTCCTTTCTCTACCAACTTCTGGAGCTCACGGACGAGAATTTCCCTCAGTCGAACGGCGGCCCCAAATATAGGGGCAGAAGGGCGATTATAAACCTGGGCGTTGTGACAAATTTGCACAACATCCTTGACGAACTCGGCGAATGAGCTGTATTGCTTCTTCTGGGTTTTCCCCTACAGAATCTGTCAGTAATTGATGTGGACATAAAATCTTTTTGTGAGCCTACCCGGATGGTACTAAATGCAATAGGCTCCGAGATGATTTCGAAATAATCGGGTAAAGTTCGTCGATTGGGAATTCGTTGAAACCCGGCAGCAAGCTGCTCGCCACTATAAATCATTCTTTGTTAGCGATTGCGCACCTGTAGATTAGGTGGCACACGTACTCGTCTTCAACGCTGCAAAGATAGGTCGACAAGTTATGGATCAAACGATACATGTCGGGGCGGCCTTCATCGTCCACCTCGCCTTCTGCGTCCTCGTCACCTTCCGCATCCATATCCACATCCGGGTCGCCTTCGGCATCGACATCGTTGTCCCCTGCATCCTTCATCTCGACGTCTGTACCTGCGGTTTTGGCTTCGATCGATTCGCGCACTTCTGTCGCGTTCGTCCTCCGAGTGGACATGATGTGCTTATGGGACCACTCGGGCCTGGTCGCAATCCGTAGGTGAAGTTATTGCAGTGAGAAGTTTGGAGTTGTCACAGGTATACTTCAATAACTCATTAATTTAAAGGCCAATTCGTATCGCGAAACCACAACATGAGGTGTTGCGAAAGTTGAAGATGAAGCTTGATTGGAAGGTACGTATCGTTGACCTGCCATAGGTTGGGAGCGCGTGTGTTTGCGCGCGACACCAGGCATCAGGGTACCAGAAAAGTTGACCGCCAGAAGCATAGAGAACGAAATTAGTAGGTCACTTTCTGCGGTTCAGGCTGAGATTTTAGATCATTTATTTGTTGTATCCTAAACCAACAGGCCCTCTTTTTTGTTGTGCACTAGCCAGGTTCCTGAATAGGCTAAAGGGTGCGTGTGTGTGGAAACAGGCGGGTGCCAACATCTCCACTCGGCCTCGCATGAGACAATGTTCCTCGACTTGAAACTGCAAAACCACCACTTATATTCTAGACTTGAAATTTATCCTCATGAACCAGGTACCTATAGAGGCTTCCCATACCACTGCCCGACAATCCTTGCGCGTTTTAAAATATCGCCATGCGTGCTCGATTTAAAGGCCCAGCAGGCACCGGCATTCTTGAGCTACCAGACGATGCTACTGTTGAAGCCCTCTTTGATGAAATTCGGACAAAGACTGGCATCAACAAATTCAGTGTGAGATACGGTCTGCCGATGGCTATGAAATCCCTCGAAGCTACTCAGGGTGACCAGATTGCTCGATGCCTTGGTCTTCATGGCGAAACGCTCACTATTGTCCCCGAGGAGTCATCATCTGACCCTGCTGAGGCTGTCCAAAATCGGCCTGTTGCATCCATGCCACTGAAAAAGAATGAAGGCCCGGAAGACGCGAACGTTCCATGGCCGCAGAGAGAGGGCACTCTTCGTAAGTGGTTACAGATGCTTGTACTCGTATGTATGGACATTAACATGAGGAAGTGTTACGAGTGATGCCCAGTGACAATAGTTGTTTGTTCACCGCGTTCGGGGGCGCATTGCAAGACCAAATCCCTGCACAAAATTTGAGACAGATGATGGCAGACTATATTCTCGAACATCCAGAAGAGTATTCGGAAGCTGTTCTTGGCAGCCCTCCCAGGCAATACTGCCTCAGTATCCAGGACCCAGATAGATGGGGTGGCGGCATTGAGCTCAGTATACTATCCTCTATCTTCGACATACAAATATGTACTTTCGACGTTCAGGTCAGTCAATGCCATTGCCTCTCATCCTGTTTTTTCACTGATTGCAAGTTAGACGCAAAGTAAAATTGAATTCGGAGAGGAAAAGCGGGATCGCTGCATTCTCGTGTACTCCGGAATTCATTATGACCGGGTTGCCTTCAGCTGCGCTGATCCCCCTTACAACTCCCCTACCTTACCCCCCGAACTTGACCAAGCTGTTTGGCCTACTGATGACGACGAAGTTCTCAAAAAGACCGAAGAACTCGTTCAAAAGCTTAACAAAGCGCATTACTACACGGACACAGATGGATTGATCTTGAGATGCGATGTGACGGGATGTGACTGGATCGGCAGCGGCCAGCTTGAAGGGCAGAAGCATGCAGAGGCGACAGGCCATGTTGACTTGAGCGAAATCCAAGACGAGGGTGACAGCATCCTGCGGAAGTGCGATGCACCTGGTTGCGACTTCATTGGACAGGGAGACAAAGCCGTCAGACAACATCGTGCTGACACTGCTCACCAGAAATTCTCTATCATTCATGACGCCTGACCGAGGTTAGGTGTGTAACTTCAATCGTTGCTGACCTAGTACGTCGAGACATTGCGATATGCCCATTCATGCCTGGAAGCATAACAGGGTTTACAACTGTAGCACGTTGGCAAGGTCGCACATTAAGAGCATTAGCATTAGTGGGGAGGACCAGATTCTCTGGAATAATTGATATTGTATTTTCTTTCGGAACTTTGCGTCCCAGGGATATGTAGCTGTCAGCAGCATGATTGTTTGCATGCATAGGCAGAAACTATATGGGGAGAAAGTAAAAAAAAAAAAAAAACTAAAAAAAAAACTGGTAACTTTCTGATAGACTTGCAGGAGGTTTGCACAGAGGTGTCTCGAAACCATGTCCAGTCAAGGCTGGTCCTTCTGAGTAGGATAAGTGATGCCGCACTCGTGTATAAATGTTGCTAATTCACAAGTATGACCAAGATAGAATTGTCCCTGGCTATTTTGTCTTCTTAAGAGAATCATCGGTATGAACCGAATCGATATTGGCAAGAGAGAGGTTCAGGAATTCGTGCTTGTTGGACCAATTCTGCTGCCCCTGGGTGAAGTCGTTCATCTGTTGAGGAGGAGGTGGCGGGTCGGTAATTTTGGTAATAAGATAGGCGGTCGATGCCTCAGCAATACCATAGATGAGCACGCCAACCAGAGGAATTTTAACAAGGATATAAAATCCCAAACCAAAGCCAAACAAAACACCTTCTCGACTGCGAAACCAGTTTCGTTTCTGCTCTTTAGTAAAGTGAACTCGGGCAAAATAAGGTTCGAGCAATTCTCGCATCAGACTCCTGGATGAGAAATAGCTCTGAAGGAAGATGACAAGGTACTTGCGAGGAAGGAAGATACCTGTGCCGAATATCACCGAAGCCGGACCCAACCCTACAGCGTTGTTGAAGGTGTAGAAACTTGCAGCAGGCAAAACAAAGCGGCCGATGTATGGCGTGTATGAGAGGGCGAAGACGGCGAGAGAGATGCCACCTTTACGAAGAAAGCGGTAAAGAAACATAGAAACAGCTTGAGCAGTACTCTCAGAGTGTGTGCTTCCGTCTGTCGGCCTGTACATCTTAAGATTTGGATAGTACATGTTCCGAAGCTCAGAAGGCTTTTCACCACTGTGCTTCTGGACATAAGTTATATCTACCCACTGCAACGACTGCATAAATCTATCGAAAACTGGTTAGGCACGAAGAAGGATATAAATGGAATCGACTCACAGGTTATCAAGAGTTGGTACCACATAACGCATAAGAGTCATGAGGAAGAACGGCACTTGAAGAACATATTCTGCAACAAAGTCAAGGCCGTTTACGAGGGTATCATCCCATGTTACCGTGTCGAGAGACACAAAGAACGAGATAACCCATAGCAGTACTTTGATCCCAATGATCTAGTTTCATGTCAATTCTATCTCAAGTTCCTGCTGATAATATGGGCAAGACTCACGGGCACAGAGACGACGAGTCTAATGGCGAGGCCAGCTACAACTGCAATAGCCGCTTGTCGATAGTGATCGGTGGTAAAAAGTGCAGGGTTCTGAAGTGCACGATGAGCTGTGTGGGATGCTAGTCAAAAACACGATTTCTGGTTATAATGGATCAAGGGAGTTTAAGATACTACTTACCTCCTACCAGCGTCAACTGAGCTCCGCGGATTACTGTGTTCGGATCGAAATGAGAAACGTCAAGTTTCTGCTCGAGTTTCTCCTTCAGTTTGTCTTTATCAATACTCATCTTGTCGTTCGAAGACATGTTGAGAAATGACGCAGCAGGGAGCTGTGGGAATCAAGGCACTCTGACCGGTTCAAACCCCGGTCGAAGTTTTCACTAACACGGGAAAGACGACGGCAGCCAGGTGAGTCCCTCAAGTTGTTGAGAATTCAAGCGTCTCAGGTTCTGGTTGAACTATAGAGTTAACAGTTCATCTAAGAGCTTGGAAGGTTACGGTAAGGTCAGACGTGGCACGTTGAAGACAGCTTGGAATGATGATGTGGTGAGTGAATGTAAGGTGACGTAAGTGTCCTAGATGGAGCTTGGTTGCTCCAGATTGGCGGCTGAGCTAGGAACATAGTACAGTAGCGTCAATAGCTCTACATTGAATTCCGGTTAAGAAAAAACATACCGCTGACACCAAATCTAGTCTCGACTCTACCTACATGTACGATCGTATACTATTGCGCACGTTGACGTTTAGTGTCGAGATAACTATAGATTAGTACTCTACATAGTACTTGGAACTCAAATGAAAGGTTATTGGGCCTTTTGCCTAACCTAATTGAGTCCGAGGGACAGGTGGGCGTTAGAGAATCACATGCAAGAGATCAAAGGTACTGTGTAAGCCAGAGATTAGTTTGTGAGACATCTCATAAAAGACCCTGGGCAATCAATCGTTCACTATTTGGTTGAAGGTGTAGCCCACTAACTCCTGGTTCCGACGTTGGGGGAGTAGTACAGCTGCACCTGAGTGGCGCTCGCAGGTCTTACAAGGGCTAAGTCGAATGATTACATCCGTAGCTGCGTCAAATCAGACAAGGAAAATGATTGCCATTGTAACGATCCCCCAACTACCTATAGAGATAAAAATCATGCCAAGGAGAAATTTGTATGAAGCTGATCGAACGACAAGTCAAGTCCTATAAAGCTTTTGTCGTACGAGGAGCTCACCAATGTTGGTAGTTCTGTAACATTTGGGCGCTTGTGAAACTTGACCTTACTTGACAGTCACAGGTAGTCTACCTGTCTAGCTGTCCTCCTGCACGAAAGATTTCCATTTGATGGGGGTCTTCTCAAAGTTAATTGTAATTTCCATGTCCTTGTCCTTGTCGTTTATCCCACGCTCAACGTTCTAGCCAAATCAGGGATTCAAGGGACGGGATCGGCGGGCCTTGGAATGGATGTTAATATTGATGACTAAGGCAAAGCGCCCCTCTAGAACTCAAAGCCCCTGCAGATGGCCCCAGCACAGCCGTCACCTCAACGAGCGAGCACTTCTATACTCAAGTCGAGGGAGTGAAAAGAAACGAGTGGGTTTTGAACCAGCCACCTTCTCGAACGATTGAAATACTGTATAACTTGCTTTCGCTCCATCATTTGGTGAATGCCCCCCTTAGAGCGCGCCGTCTTTCCTATACTGATAATTCTCCCTTGACAGTTGGTTAGGACCCACAACAATTCTTCACGATCCGCCGCGATACACTCGACATCAACCTCGCGCAACCATGAACGCCTCTTCTTATTTGTCCAGTCGAGATGTTTAAGCTGCAGTCCGGCTTAGAAATAATTTGCGCTACTAGGAACCAGACAACGTTACCGAATTTAATCTATCATGGATGACTCGGTTGACGATCTCCCGCATCACCGGGCCCCAAGACGAGTGTCAACTTCCCCGATGCCACGTCGAGACTCCGTGAGCTCAGATACGCCCGATAAAGACCTGGTCGAAACACTCTACAGTCACCCAAATGTCAAAATCATATCCTTTACGGCAACTGGGAGAGCGTTTGTGAGGAGTCCTGCCACAAGCAACGTTGATCCACCTGGGACCCTATCATGGTCCTCTCAGCTCGAGCGAACTATTGCTGTTGGTGAGTGCCTCGTCTCAGAATACCTCAAAGCCATCTGCTAATTGCGTAAACCAGGCCCCTTTCGCATCTACCGAGCACCGCGATCCGTAGCCTTTCTAAGTTGTGGTTCCGCGTTGCAGCCTATCCTACGAAAGAGCCAGTGTTGGTGCATAGATGAAGTCAACAGTAAGTTCATTTTACAGATTCGTCGGCCTAATTATTGGAGAATCGAACTACCGGTCGAAGACCTTGAAGACCAGCAACGGGCCGAAGAACTCAGAGAGGTGCTCGATAAAATTCTCCAATTCGAGAAAACCGAGTGTCCCTTCAAGCGCACATTCACAGTCGATCTTCCAGAGCAAGTGCCTGTTACGATCTTACCTTGGACTCCTCGCGCCCAACCCATGATGCCCGACGACGCTGCATTGTCATCTACCAGCCCGCGCAGATCGTCATTCGCCGGGCGAGCCACTACGCCTACGCCTCTAAATGATAGACTTCCCATAGATATCCCATCAAGTCCACTGGTCGGTAGACCCACACGGGCAGCATCTTGCGTAGTACCCTCAAACATATCCATTTATGAGGAATATGGAATGCATCTGGATCCTTTACAGCCGATTGGTGGAAGCACAAGCGAATTTAACGCAAGGCCACTGGATGTTGTCCCGGAACGTCCAACGGAACACATCTCATCGTATCCCTTCTTATCCAATCTGCCTGAGTCTTACAGCTCTCCTGCATTCGCCAGCGACTCAGGGGCACACCATGATGGGTCATCTGTATTCTCGACTAGCCCTACCCAGAGTGACTTGTCGGTATATGAACTACACGAGGGATCCGGTAACCGGGGAGGTCGTATGAAGGCTAGACTTCGACGACGGACCGCAGGGTTTACAACGACAAGATCAGCCACAATGCCGCCGCACTTAATGCCAACAGTGGATAAGACTACAACGTCAGCTTCTGCATCAAGAGATCCAACTACGAGAAGCGTATCAGACATTTCAAGGAAACCTTCGGTTCGTGCGCCTACCACTCCCAAGTCAAGTAAGAGCAGTAATAAAGTTGAATCGCGACCTTTGCAATCTGCTCGACTGGATGGACCCATACAGCAGCCACGACTCCAACGGCGGGACAGCGAGGAATCATTTCACAGTGTCGAGTCGTGGCATTCGTCCGGCGTTCCCATACATCCTTCGCCACCCACTTCACAAGCGGAGTCTGCTGTTGGGGCAAAGTACGAATCAAATGAAACGGACGCCTTGTCCGTTGGGAGATGCAAAAGAGACAAGTCTTCCCGAAGCAGAGGCAGCTCTCCAATGCCATGCGCTTGGGAATCTGACCCTGATTCCGACGACAGCGAGTCGTCCAGCGAAAGCGCGAACCTGGGAATCAAAGACACAGTCGACGTTGAAACCAAAGTCCACTCGTCGGCAGCACCACCACAACGGCCGTTTATAACTCGTCATAGAGCGACGACAAGTAGCTTATCAGTACGCCAGCGGGCACTTTCACCCCTGCCCCCTGCTGCGAATCTCTTCACCCCTGCATCAACTATGGAAAGACGACCTTACAGAAGTAGGCTGGAGACTGTCAAGAACCTACCAATGGCCATCATTGCCAAGACGTGCGAAATGATAATGGGTCCTCCAAGCTCCCTGATCCGCCTTATTCTCAGGGTGGCAGCTAGGATTGCTTCGGGACAATGGAGAGGCCTTGTATATGGGTACGGCGAAGATGGCGAAGAAATACCAGTGCAATGGGACTACTCTGAAGGTGAATTCAGCGACTGGAGTGATGATGAGAACTATCAACATGCTCACCGCAGTGGTCAAGGAAAGCGACACAGTAGACATCGCAGTAAGAACGAAAACACGACCAAAGAAATAGCAGCACAGAAGGAGCTGCACAGGCGGCCTTCATCTTCGGATGATAGTCGAAGCTGGGGGGTTGACTGATGACGGACAAGGTGCTTGAAATGCGTTATGTCATATGTTGTCGATGTATAGGTTACCGGGAGAGTGGATTGCAAGGTTCTAATGACGGTACAAAGGTATTTGATCACATGATGGGTTTGTAAACATGCAGCAGGACGTTTCGGTTGAGCGTTTGGAACAGAACCAGCCGGCCTAAGGGTGAATACATGGCTTGAATTTCACATTTGTTTTCTAAGGATTTGTCTATTTGAACCCAGGAGCCTCTCCAAGCGAGCTATTTTGACATTATTCTGATTTGTAATTGTATATTAGGCTTATTTCTAAACACGTTACTCTTCTCTCAACATAATACTAATCGGCTGGACCCGTATATGTTAGAGAGTATCTTTCACAATTATGTACCTAACCTATATACCCCGCACAATTCTTAGCATCTCATGGGGTGTAATTATACAAAAAAATACGGGAGGTAGATCAGAGACAATACGTGGTTAGTGTGCAGGCAATGACATGTTGGACTTGATAATGCGATGAATACGGGCATGCCAGAGGAACGAACCAAGTATGCTGCCGGATGGTCTCAAGTACCCAAGCCATTGTTAGGTGTCGGAGATACCTTTGGAAGACCGAAAGGCACTTTGGATGATCTACATGATACACTAGTTTGAGAGTCGTATTCCTCGCATCGACTCATTATTGGTCATATCCAATATCACAAAGCTCAGATTGACAACAGTTGGTCAAGTCGTGGCCAAGCAGGATGTTACTCCTAGAGGAAAATTTGGCAAAGTGCTAGTTGTTTTCGACAATGAACGATATAAAAGGAAGTTTAGTGCCGTTGTAGGCAGAGAAATTCGAAAGATTCTCTAATACAACAAAGAGATGAGTGAACCATCCTCAAGAATTCGCGCAATTGGAACTCAAAGTCACCAAGATGTCTGATGGAAAATACAGTATGATTTCCTGTGATCTTATGCGTGTTCCCTCTTCTTCTGGTTCTGAGAGATCTGACACTCAGTAGTTGACGGTAGCTACTGGTTCTATGCTCCCAATAAGGGCGCAGCCATTTTCTTCTGTACTGCGTTCTGTTTAGCAGGCTGCTTACATACATGGCAGTGCATGTAAGTCGAAAGAGCAGGATCAGCTCCTTTCAACCGAGGAGGAGCAATAAGAGTGATGCAATGCTGAGACCAATCGCAGACGCTATAAGTGCTGGAAGCTGACACCCCTGTTTCCATTCTGCTGTTTGCTCTTTACGGTCGGCTTCATACTCAGAGGTTATGGAGCATTTCACTATGGCAATCTTGACATATTTATCGCAAGTGTATGTATCACTTATGCTGCCCCGTAAGTTATAACTTGACGATGCGACACTGACATGATACAATGTATTGACAATCGACAGCCCGCTCCTTGAACTACAAAATTATCGCATTATTGGACGAATATTGTACTACGTTCCATACCACTCGCCAATACACCCTGGAAGGGTTTTGACAACATTTGGATTTGTATCTGCTTTCATCGAGGCACTTAACGGTTGGGGAGCGTCGTACTCGGCAAACCAATCGCTGAGCGACAGCGAGATTGAGGCGGGCCACGCTCTTATCAAAGCATCCTTACTGATGCAGATTGTCGTGGCAGTTCTCCTCTTTACACTGGCTGTCACGTTTCATCGCCGATGCATCATCAGCGGTATCAAGAATGAGCGACTTGCGAGTCCGCTATGGACGCTCTATATAAGCATGACCCTGATTTTGTCCAGAACCGTCTATCGTATCGTCGAATACTTTAGTATCGCAGAGCTTCGATATGGAGCAGACTTCGATCCGGCAAACATAAATCCTGTTGTCAGATATGAATGGTATTTTTATGTGTTCGAAGCAATGGTCATGCTCATGAATCTCATCATGTTCAACATCCACCATCCCCGCCGATATTTGCCGAGGAAAAATAAGATTTACCTGTCCCCTGATGGAGTCACCGAAATTGAAGGGCCAGGCTATAAAGATCCGAGACCGTTTTGGCAGACACTCATTGATCCTTTCGACGTTAGAGGGTTAGTCAACGGCCGTGGGCGAGAGAACGAGCGATTCTGGCAAATGGAAGAGAGCGAGATAACACAGCAAGCCAAGGCCTCTTCAAAGGAACCAGAGACGGCATGAGCATGGGAGAGACTAATTCATACACTGATGTCCACTGCTGTATTGGTTACAGTTTAGGACACATTCATCTTCTGTATCCCCCCTTTCTATATCCAAGGGTCTCTGATCGCAAACAATAAATGATGACATATCTAGTAGGCAGCAGAGAGTTAGCCCACAAGTTTTATGGTGCAAGAATAAACAGCCTAAGAAGTCTAGTCCAAGAGTATAAACCGACCGACTAATTTCATGTTGCATGCTTCCAGCGTCCAATTCCTCTGATGCCATGAGGCCTGCATTATCATATTTCTGACCATGTTTCTTGCCCTAGAACAAAGCCATTGGTCATAAGATGGACCGTGATTTGATGTGTCACTATCCTGGAGGCTGAGCAACTACTGTCATCGGACAGTACCAGACTAGGAAGGGCTACGCATAGCTACGAAACTGTCGGGTGATTCAAAACCGCCGACAATGTCAATGGTGTCTGGTAAAGAAAAGCGGTGTCTTTGTTTTGTGAATAAAAAGTCTTGGTGCGTCACAGGGGTAAAAGCATTCGATGCCAGTGCAAATTACAGGATGCGGCAAGTAACACGTTTTCAACCCATTTGCGATCTTCTGTAACTCACTGAACCCAGAGATGAAGTGACATACGAGGCGAGTCGGCAAACCAGAGGAAGAGGCATTGTTCAGAAGGAATGAAAACAGGCCCCGTCGGCGTTTTAGTCGAGACAATTTCATGCTCCCTTGCCGACGAAGGATCGAGACCCCATCAATCAACCAGCGTTGGATAATGTTGTACACAGCCTTTCTGTCTGACTACCAGACTGGGTAGCCTACTGATGTATCGACAAGCGTTAAGCCAGTAAATACGTCAAGACAAAGGAAGCACTGATAGACGGTAAAAAAAGATTTTATCAGGCCTTTACACTTGTGCATCTTACTGCGTACAAAGAAAGGTAGGTAGGCAACTCAGAGAAGGCATGGATGGGGCATTGCAAGAATGCATCAAATGGATTGGTAACCCTGTAAGCCTATTGATGCTAGTACTCAAGACCCTACAAGATCATTCCAATGCTTCAATGTGATCCATAAGAGAAAAACATAGACTGCATTATCTTTCTTGTGCCTTTTTATTTTATTTTAACAATATGGGGTTCGCTTACTAGATCGAGCCAAAAATAAACAGCGCACTCAATCTTACGGAGTAGAACGAACGGACACATTCTGGAAATGCCTTCGCCACGCCTTGCGGTCACTTTGAAGTTTGCCAACCTGCAACGACCAGGATCCCTTGCTCGTATTGTGGGGCACAAAATAGAAGAAATCTGCCCTGCCCGGGCCTACCTAATTAACGACCTCAGCTGAATTAACTGACTGGTTGGATAACCCGCTTTTAGAGACTAAATGCTCGACTGTTTATTGTGCTTTACTTTACTTTACTTTACTTTGCTTGAACCAAGGGCGCAATAGAGGCTTTGGAATCGTTCCCGTTGGTTTCCAAAGACAGAGGTCGTCGTCGATCATGACTGTGTTTCAACAAAACGCCAAGTCAAGTGAGCGACAAACAGATCACCGCTATCCCTGTCTTGTCGGAGAATCCTAGCTTCATCCAAGCTCCGTGTCTTACAGGCATAAGGGCCGTCGAAGCCCCCTCTCCACTACCGGGCCCGTATGTATCGAGACGGCGCCGACAGACGGGCACAGTAACCGTCCAACTGAGTCGCTTGGTTCTTCAGCTCGCATGCCTCTTGCCTGTCTCCCTAGCAAAAACAAAAACAGGTCAGGTCAAGTGACGAGACAGCACGAGCTGGACAGTGCCGAGATTGCCACCCCAACTGAAGATGTACCTGTATTAATTAGAGCTGGGCTCATCCTTCCTTCAGCATTCTCTTCTGTTTCGACTCGACATGATTAATTGCAGGGCTCAGCTCCGCCCCTCATGCTAACGTTAGTCGCTTCCTTTGCTCCCGCCATCCATACCTTACCTCAGATTAATGTGCTTCACAGTTGGTTAGAAGCGGAGAACAACTCTAAGCCTTGACCCCCCCAACTGGAGTGACTCCATCCACATAGTAGGTAATATATTTATCTCACACCTCTTTGTCTGCCCTTACTTGTCCGTACATCTTGCCTTTTGTTCTCTCTTCTCCGCATCTATAACTCTCCCGTTGCAGACTGAACCACTCACTGGTCGTTATATATCTAACCTACCTATTACTCAGCCTAACAACCCATTCTTCAACACGAGACTACCACTTTCCGTCCCTGCCTCACCTTTGATCCGTCTCCCCTAGTCATCGCCGCCATGGGAGACCGACCAGCCATCTATGTCCATCTAGAAATGGGCTTAACGCTGCCCAAGATTATGTCCAAAGACCGGCATATCACTTATGTCTCTAAGAGCATGCGCGATCGAGCAAATCAGTTTCCCCGACAGTTGCCTCCTGCAAATACCAACTACCTCAACTCTTCATCGCAGTATCAAGCCGGTCATCAACAAATGCTCACACAGACTCAGCCAACTCAGTATCAACTACAGCATCAATTCGCTTACCATGCCAACAATCTCCCTCCCAATACATACAGTAGAGACCCTGTGTCGACTAGTGTAGCTCAGGGACAGTCATACCAGCCATACCGTCCCCAACAAGTACAACACGACATTAGGGAATACTACGCCCCTAATTCAACAGCGCCACCACCGCCACAACGAGACTCTTTACAGCCAGACGAAGTTCTGCGTAGCTCGAGATCGACGAGACGTGGTTCACACGAGCGTGGCAAATCTGCACCCCCGCCTCTAAACAGCAGCCCTTGGGACATAAGCCCGCCACATGCGTCAGGGAACGAACCTCATCTCTGGAAAGCTCTTCCTGCAACCCCAAATCAATTCCGACTCGGAGAAGGCGACATGCCATGGGACTTGTGGACGTTCCCTGTGGGCCTCGACGATAATAACGAGGAGGACGATCACGGTGAAAGAGGGGATGGACGCAAACGTTCCCGAGAGGCCAGTCTGCGAGCAACATGGGGACCTGAATTTCCAAGTGAATACTCACGTCCCACCCAACCTGTGCAAGTAGACGACCGTGCAAGAGGTAAAGCAAATGACATACAGTCTCTGGCTTCAGCATTGATGACTGTCGACAACGGGTTTGAGGATCAGTGGTGGTATCAGGGCCCTCGTCTTGTCAATATCCATGGAAATGTCATGGTCCCAACAGCGGTACCCAAGTCCAGCTTTCACCCTGACCACCAGCAAAGTTCTGTGGGATGGGCAGTCTCGCATGAGGAAGCGCAGCGGCTGAAGAATCAGAACGATCAGCACCAATTGCAACAGAAACCCCAAGAGCAACAAAGAAGACGGCAACGGCACTTGTCACTTCAAGAACAGCAACTCGAGTCGTTTGTACCATCAAACGCGTCTTTCCAGCCCGTGTCTCCCTATTCAGGCACAAATACTGCCGACATTGTGTCACCCTTAAGTGATTACCCTAGCCCGTTATCAAGTTATGGTGGCTTGCGACGCTCTTTGACCACCCGCTCTGACGAACTTCACCTATAAATCGAATAAGTAGCCCCGTCTGTTGAACGTGGCGATTGGGTTTCAGGCCTGGCTCTTATAAAGGGAGCGCGACTCTGACCGTTACTGCATCTGAACGCGGTCCAAGTCTACCATGAAGTGCCCGAGTCCGTCTAGATCAATCGCAGGCCCTCACTGAAATTCGAAGAGATTATCGGATTCCCAGAAGAAATGGACAGAATGTGAAGGTAAATGTGAAGGTAAAGCTGGTCATGAAATGAGTATATGTATATGTAGTAGTCGACAATGCTCGGCATGCCTGACGAAGCGGTGGTTCTCGAGCGATGGTTCTCACGATGGATCATACGGATGTCTTGATTTGAGAAGAGCTGGATGGACTAACGAATCATTTTTGGGTAACATCTTATTATTGAACTTATGAATATCGGCGTGTGAATGGGGCGCTCACTAGGGCTGGGATACATAGATACCTCTTTGTAGTAATTGTGAAGGAAAGCTCCTCTTAAAAACCAGCGTAATACGTAAAGATTTCTCCGTTTTGTTGCGAAAGACGCTGTGGCTGTACTGACTACGGATTAAGCCGGTCAAAGCCGTCATGAGCATGATGACAAGAGTTATTGTTTTTGCGCACAAAGAGGCGTTAAAACAATTCATCAGGTGTTGAAATGAAGACGTGAGGGGGATAAGAGAGTCAATTGATGTAGGTCAACTTCGAATATCTCCATCCCTGAGTGGTGATGGCATACCTACAAGGTACTTGTCCGTGTTGCGTTAAGGTGAGCTGTCAAGGTGAAGAAGAAGGTCTATTTACTTTACATACCGGGTATCTCGGTAGAAGCCTTCCTGGTTCTTCCCGCCCACTGTTCACCTCCAGTAAGCTACCCGCGGGAGAAGCCGGATGCTATTGGCTGCTCGGCTAAGCTGTCGGCCATCAGGTAATGGAGAGCCATTGAAATCCAATCAGCGGCTGCTGTTTGGTCTACTCTGTCGGACATGTACCTCCTCAGTAGCTCTCTGCCACGCTATTCCATTTTCGGCTGATCATGGCGCCGCACCTGTGCCAAATATTGGCACCTGGTGGTGTTGAGTAACTGACTTATTTTTGTACCCCTAACCCCAAAGCCTGACGACTAACTTGTTTCTGAGTGGAACATCGCGAATCATTGTCCGAGCTCTGCCACTTCTTGTGTGTTCCTTTTTTCCTCCTGACCTAAACTCCACTTCCATACAATCCAACACCAAACCGCGATCGTCTTTGCCGTCACTCCCTCTCGACAATCACCTCACAATCTTCCAAAAATGCTGTCAAGAAGTATAGCTACCGCCAGCCGTATGGTGCCCGCTCGGGTGCTGAGGCCCCGTGCGCACCCTCTTGTCATGCTTCCTTCCATGATGCAGACCGTTCGTACCTACGCCGATTCCGTCATCAAGGTCCCCCAGATGGCCGAGTCCATTTCTGAGGGTACCCTTAAACAGTTCTCCAAGAGCGTTGGCGACTATGTTGCCCAGGATGAGGAGATTGCTACAATTGAGACCGACAAGGTACGCCGTCATGACAGACTTGGATTGTCTTGTCTTGCCTTGTTGTCTGCCGTTTGAGGATATCCCCGTTGACATGTAAACCAGATTGACGTTGCCGTCAACGCTACCGAGGCCGGCACTATTAAGGAGTTCCTTGTCGCGGAGGAGGACACCGTTACTGTCGGCCAGGATCTCGTTCGCATCGAGCTTGGTGGTGAGCCATCTGGCGACAAGAAGGATGCCCCTAAGGAAGAACCTACGAAGTCCGAGTCCGAGTCAAAACCTACGCCTAAGCAAGAGTCTGCCCCCGAGCCTAAGAAGGAGGCCGCTCCCGCTCCCAGCAAGCCCGAGGCTCCCCGACAGCCCGAGAAGAAGCAGTCAAAGTCCGAATCCTCCACCTCAAGCGGTCCCTCTATGGGTAACCGCGAAGAGCGTCGCGTAAGTTGTTGCTATACAGCAAGGGAATACTCCAGCCCCTGGTCCAGGTTGTGCTAAACATTTCTGCAGGTCAAGATGAACCGCATGCGCCTCCGAATTGCCGAGCGTCTCAAGCAATCTCAGAACACCGCTGCTTCCCTCACCACCTTCAACGAGGTCGACATGTCCAACATCATGGAGTTCCGCAAGCTTTACAAGGAGGACGTCCTCAAGAAGACCGGTGTCAAGCTTGGTTTTATGAGCGCCTTCTCCCGAGCTTGCGTTCTTGCCATGCGCGACCTACCTGCCGTCAACGCCTCCATCGAGGGACCCAACGGCGGTGATACCATCGTCTATCGCGACTACGTCGACATCAGTGTTGCCGTCGCCACTGAGAAGGGCCTCGTGACTCCCGTTGTACGAAATGTTGAGTCGATGGACATGATTGGCATTGAGCAATCGATTGCCGATATGGGCAAGAAGGTAAACAGCTCTTTTTCTTTTCCCGAAACCAATTGATCACTAACGTGGAGATCTTAGGCGCGTGACAACAAGCTCACTATCGAGGATATGGCCGGCGGCACCTTCACCATCAGCAACGGTGGTGTGTTTGGCTCACTCATGGGCACCCCCATCATCAACCTTCCCCAGAGCGCCGTCCTTGGTCTCCATGCCATCAAGGAGCGCCCCGTTGCTATCAACGGCAAAATCGAGATTCGACCCATGATGTACCTTGCCCTCACCTATGACCACCGCCTGCTGGACGGCCGGGAGGCCGTACAATTCCTTGTCAAGGTGAAGGAGTATATCGAGGATCCCCGAAGGATGCTCTTGTAAAAGACGTTCTGCAATATCAAGCCGCTTAATACCCTACCTATAGTATAGTATAAAGTTAATAGTTTTATAGTAGTAATATATTACTATTATCTATTATATACTTTAACTTATATAAAATACAGAGTATTTATAAGAAAAGGCGCTAAATATAATATTTATTATTTTATTAAAAGATTAATTTAAACTATATTTATTAATTATCTTAGTTTAAAATATAGTTTAAAATTTTGATATCTTAATATAAATTTAATAATAAAATTTCAAATAATATATTATATAACTAGATTAATTCCTATAGAGTTAGCTTTTATTTCTATTAAACCTAACTAATAAAAACCTATTAAATAGGTAAGCCTTAATTGTAGGTAAACCTTGGTTAGCTATTAAATCCCTTAAAATAGGATAATAAGCTAATTCTCAATTAAATATTCTCTTCCTTAAGCTTTAATATAATATTATTATTCTTCTATTTAGCTTTTAATTAATCTATTATTTATTATAATAAATTGTTACAACCTAACAGATAATTACATAGGCCCCACTATTTTCCACCAATCACGGCTCCAACCACCTACACTAGCTTAGGCAGACCGTGAGCCGCCAGGATCTGCGACTTACAGCTCACGATGAGACTTACGACATAAGCCTAAAGCTTAACTATAGGCTATTATAAGTATATATATATTCACTTAGCATTAGTTAATATACTTAGTTTAATAGCTATTAATAAAATATCTTTGCCTAAATATGCTTAACCTACTTTATTTACTATTAAGAGATATATTACTTTATAACCGCTTAGTATCATATGCCCTATGACTCTGCTAATATAAACCTAGAATAGACTAGTTTATCCCTTAGAAAACCTAACTATTATATAAATAAAATAATAGTTTCTATATAAAAGTAGAAAAATATTATTAATTTTAATAAAATATTAACACATTTAATATAGATTAAATAATAAAAAGTTAAACTTTTAATTTAATTCCTAAAGAAAAGTCTATTATTACTATTAGTTTTTTATTTATCTTATATTTTATATTAAGCCTTAGTCTTTGTAAAGTTTTCTTATAAACCTAAAACGAAAGGATTTATATGGATTGAAAATCTATTATATTAAGCCTAAGTATCTCTAAATTATTAAGTATCCTAATAAAAGTATAATTAATAAAATAATAATTAAAATTTATAATAAGAAAAGAATAAAAAAGCTTTTATATATAAAATAGCCCCCTATTAAGAATACTATTAAAAATAGTATAGTTATAATATATAAATATAGAGAGGGTTATATAACTTTATTCTATTAATTAATATATAAAAAAGGCTTTTAAATGGTTTTATTTAACTTTATATAAAACTCTTTTATATATCTATAACTTTTTTTATTGTAACTCTAACTTTAATAGAATTTCTTTAGTTAGGCATTAATAGCTATATTTATAAGAATGCTTTCTTTATTAAGTATAATTAAATATTATTACTATTATAATATGTATTTTTATATTTATTAACTATATTAAAAGTTTAGATTATTAAGGAATATAGTCTCTATAAAGTTACCCTGAGTTAATAATAATATATACCAATTAAGTCCTCTTCCTCTATAGTATCTTAAATATTATATAGAGGGATTCTAAGGGAAAGTAACTTAAAAGTCTATAGTTAAATAAAGCTAGTATTGCTTTAATTTCTACTATAATTAGCTAGTTTTTAATTATTATAATATATTTTAAGCTAACTATAAGAATTTATAGCCTATTAAAGGTCTTTTTACTAATTTAATTAAAGGCCTTAGTAGTTTATTTATAGCTATAGTGTTATTAGTTAAGGCAATTATATTAAGATTTATAACCTAGCGTTTATTACTTTTTAACTATAGTTTTCTAATTATGTTAATTATAGTTTCTATAGATAAAGGCATTAGGTCTATTACTAATAGGGCTAACTGTTATATAATAAGATATATAATAGAGTTATTTATAACTTAGTTTCTACTATATAAGTAGTTAATAAGATAACTTATATATTTTTAAGGTTATAATAGATAATATTTATAGCTTTTTTTTTATTTTTATTATCTTATATATAATAAGGGGGAAATAATACCTATTTATTTAAAGCTTATACTTTAATATAAGGCTTTAATTTAATATTAAGCCCTATAGACTATAGTATTACTGCTATTAGTACTATTTATATATTATAAAACTATTAAATCTTATATTAAGTATATAGCTACCTTAATATAAAATATAGTTTAAATTCTAGTATTTTTATGTAAGTTTAATAATAGAATTTTAAAATAGTATATTATATAACTAGATTAATTCCTATAGAGCTTTTACCTCTAGATTAGCCTGCATTTTAACTTTCTATATCTTTAATAGAATCCCTAGATTAACCTTTAATTAACCCTATATATAGCTCCTGCTATTTATAAGGCCTTCTCTATAAATACCCTTATTACTTTAGCTACTTTAATAATACTCTTTATAATCTTACTTTTAATTAACTTAATAATAATATTATTAAAGGCCTTATTAGCTTAAGCTACCTATAGCCTAAGGTATTAATACTAGGCCTTATGCTTATAGTCTAATTTAATTTCCTTAAAAAAAGTAACTTTATTATAATAGATTTTATTAGGCCTTCTTATAAGCTTTTTTTAAGGTCCCTTAAATACTTAGGCTTTTACTTAAGCCTTATTATTATTTATTATAGCTTCTAGGTTTAAAAATATATTATAAAGAGCAAGAAGAGCTTATAGCTAAAGGCAATTAGCCTAATAAGGCTATAATTATTATTATTATATAAGGTCTCTTAGAGGTATTTAGCCTTATACTTTAGCTATTTTAAGTTTTTATTATTATTACTAAATAAGATATTATTAATAATATCCTTTTTATTAAAAAATAGCTATTAAAATAATTATAAATATTACTATAAGGGTTTTTCTTCTAGAAATAAGTAATATAATACTATATTAATTAGCTATATAATATAAATAGTAATAAATAAATAAGGGATTAATTAATTATATTTAAAGGTATTTAATAGTAAATTATAAGAGAAAGAAGCTATTATATATATAGAGGCTTTTTTTAATATTCTTTTATTATAAAGTTTAATTATTACTATATTATAATTTTATTAGGAAAGTTAATTATTAAAAGAAAATTAGTTTTAATGTATTAGGTTTTTAATTTATATAAATTCTTTAGTATTAAATCTATAAGAAAACTTTAAAAAGACTTAGGCTTAATATAAAGTATAAAGTAAAAGAATAAAATAAAATAAAAATTATAAGAATTATAATATATATTAAAAAAAAGAAATTACTATTCTTATTACTTAGATATAAATACCTATAAGAATAGAAGGGACTAGGTAATTATATAAATTAGGCTAGAGGAAAACTATAATTAAAAGATCTCTATATATATAAGAATAATAAAATCTAGCTTTCCCCTTTAAGATTCTAATAAATCTTTAATTACTATTATAACCTTAAAATAATTATAATCTTAATTACTATAGAATATTATAATTAATAAGTTAATTATATATATAATGTACACGATAAGCATGCCGATCAGACAAGCATGCCGATTAAAAATCCCTCAACCTTACATATTATTATCTGATCAATTAATTCTCAACCAAATAATATATCTCAATCTAATAAAGAGGCTTAAATTATTCTTGCACTTCAGGCCTATCAGGCAGACCCAATATTAAGCCTGCGACGAGCTGCAATAGTCTATAACGTTAACTTCTCGACCCTTCATGCCCGACATAATGGCATCACTGCACGTTGCAATTGGGTTCTAAAGCAACGGAAACTAAGTGATCTAGAGGAATAGGTTATAGTCCAGTATATCCTTGACCTAGATTCACGAGGATTTCCTACCCGATATTGCGATGTTGAAGAAATGGCGAATCGACTGCTTGCAGACCGCGATGCATCACCAGTTGGCAAGCGCTGGGCTATCAATTTTATTAAGCGGCAACCATAGCTTAAGACACATTTTCAGAGGAAATATGATTATCGGAGGGCCTAATGTGAAGATCTAACTACTATTCGCAATTAGTTTAGGCTTGTAGAGAACATAATCGCTAAATACGGCATCCGATTAGATGATATCTAGAACTTTAATAAGACCGGCTTTATAATAGGCATGATATTAAGCGGTATAATCGTTACTAGCTCGGAAAGGTATAGAAACCTAAAATCAGTCTAGCCTGGAAATCGGGAATAGGCTACTGTGATTCAAGCAATTAATGCAGAAGGCCACGCAATTGATCCATTTATCGTGGTTATAGGCGAATTTCACCTTCAGAACTGGTATAAAGAAAGCAACCTCCCGGCTACTTAGGTTATCGCCATAACTAAAAATGGCTAGATAAATAATAAGACAGGCCTTAACTGGCTAAAGTACTTTAATTGGGCTATAACTAACCGATTAACTGGTCCCTATCGCCTCCTGATTCTTAATGGTTATAAAAGTCACCAATTAGCCGATTTCCAGATATATTGTGAGGAACACAATATTATTACACGCTGTATGCCGCCTTATTTATTACATCTACTTTAGCCCCTTGACGTCGGGTGCTTTAGGCCACTGAAAAAGGCATATGGTCGAGAAATAGAGCGACTGATCAGAAGGTCAATAACCCACATTGAGAAGACCGACTTCTTCCTGGCGTTTTATATCGCCTTCCAAGCTACTATAACCGAGAAGAATATCAAGGGAGGTTTTAGAGGAGCCGGGCTTGCTCCCTTTAACCCAGAACATATCATCTCGAAGCTTGATGTGCAATTACGGACCCTAACGCCTGCCCAGGAGGTCACTGAACCTTCAACCCCTTGGACTTCAAGGACCCCAAAGACAATACTAGAGACCCAATCTCACTCTAAGTATCTACAAGGAAGAATCAGAAATCATAAGAGCAGCTCCCCTGAGTTAATAATTGAAGCTGTAAAGTATTTTGAG